GCTCCGGCGGGAAGGTAAACAGCATTTCCGTGCACTGCTCTGGTTCGCCAGAAGCGGCTTAGTCATGCTGGCCACATGACCTGGAAGCTGTATGCCAGCTCCCTCGGCCAATAAAGCGAGATGAGCACCGCAACCCCAGAGTCGGCCACCTTTACCTTTACCTTTAAGCTCCTTAGAGGAAGAGCAGGATGCTGGCATTAACTAACTACTCCCAGGGTTTTCTGCTAACTTCTCCATACCGTACCAACCAAGCATGGTCTAGCTTTGTCATCTTATATAGGGGACACCACCACCACCATCCCCCGCTCCGCATGTGTCAGATTTTGAGCGTTTTTGTGTGTGTATTTTACAGTGTCCCATCTATACTGCGTAGCAACAGGTTCCGTAGAGATGCTAGGACCTTGGAGGATGATGAGGAAATGTGGTTCAATGAAGATGAAGAGGAGGAGGGTGAAGCAGTTGTACCCCCTGTAGAAAAATCGAAGTCAGAGGACGATTTTCCAGATAGTTATGAGAAGTTCATGGAAACAAAAAAAGGTATTCCCCATTTTTGCCATGCTTCCCCCAGTTGGAAGTGCCATTTGAAGACGTAGTTCAGTTGAGCTGCTGTATGCATCTCGGCTTATATAGATCATTTATCTTAATGACAATGCTAAACAAAATATTTTTTCCCCCAATAGCAAAAGAGAGTGAAGACAAAGAGAATCTCCCCAAAAGAACTTCAGCAGGGGGTTTCAAATTCACATTTTCCCACTCCGCCAGTGCAACTAATGGAGCAAATAGTACAAACAGTAAATCTGTAGCAGCTCAGACGTCGCCAGCAAGTTCAAATGGTTCTTCTTCTAAGAATGCCAATTTGACTGCAGCGGTCACAGCCACAAAGGTGAGCCAGCTGGTATCATTGATGATGGTGAGAAAGCCCCTTCAAATGTATAAACCTGTTCTTAAAGCCCAGAGGGGAGACCTTCCTCACTGTACTTACCTACCAGGTAAAGCTGGTGGGACATAGTGGGCTTCCCCAGTGTCAAGACTCTTAAAACACAGCATTGTTTTGGTCTGCAGTTCACTACAGCTTGACCCTGGCAGGAGTATAAATGTGACAAAACTTTGCTGATTAGGATGGGCATTTTGCTGAGAGCTGACACTGGGATTTATGAGCTTATGGCTCTTCAGTGTGGGGGTGGTACTTTTAATACTGCTTTCGAATGTTAGTCAGTTGGAATGTCTGGTAGTCAACCAGGGTAATACATTTTAAATATACAGTGGTGCCTCGCAAGACGAAATTAATCCGTTCCGCGAGTCTCTTCATCTAGCGGTTTTTTCGTCTTGCGAAGCAACCCTATTAGCGGCTTAGCGCTATTAGCGGCTTAGCGGCTATTAAAGGCTTAGCGGCTAAAAGGCTATTAGCGGCTTAGCGGCGTAGAAAAAGGGGAAGCGAAAAAAATCGCAAGACGTTTTCGTCTTGCGAAGCAAGCCCATAGGGAAATTCGTCTTGCGAAGCAACTAAAAAACGGAAAACCCTTTCGTCTAGCGGGTTTTTTGTCTTGCGAGGCATTCGTCTTGCGGGGCACCACTGTAGTATTAATCCAGTGACAGAATTATCCATGTCATGTTAAGGAACTCCAGTGGCATTTTTAGGGCTCAGATTTTTCCATAGAGGCCACAGAAATTCTGGCTTGTGTCAAAAATATATGAAAATCTGCTGGAAACCACAGGAGGGGAGAGTGTGCTTGCAGAAGTGAGATGCTGTGGGAAATGGGATGCGGGACTAGATGGGCCACTGACCTGATCCCACAGGGCTCTTGGTATGCACTTAAATGGATCATTTCCACTACTTTGAATGTCTTGACCAGGGACTGCATCTCATAATGCTGTTTTCCAGGTTACGTGGGACATTTGAGCAGCCAGCCCAATGGCTTTTGTTTGCAGGGCTTAATGCTTATTTGAACTCTTCCTACTTCAGGCACGCTTAGAGCACAGCAGATCTGAATTACAAGAGGCATCAGTTTATCCTTTTGCCGTTTAATAATGGTTTCTGATTATTACTCATGACAATTGGGGGCTGCATCTGCGGTCAGGCTCCATAACACATGAAAAGAGCCAAAGGTCCATGCAGCTTAGCCTCCTGTTTACCACAGTAGTCAGTCAGATGCTGCCAAAAAGCAAAATGCAGCAGTAGTCCTTCCCTGATGTTTGCCCAAACCATCTGGTTGTGAGTCATCATCTCAGCATGGAGATGCCATTTAACTATCATAGTTAATAGCCATTGATAAGGTCTCATCTTGCAGCAGCATATTCCATAAGATAGAAACATACCATGGTTGTCTTTAAGGATTTTCCCCCTATCTGCATGCGGAGTAATACCTAATCCTCACTCTGAAATTATGGCAGATATATACTTGGGGTATATATATCTTCCTATGAAATGTAATCTTTGCTCTTGTCGGAGCCAGTGGCTACATCAGGCAACCCCAAGTGATGCTCTTAGTTTTCCCTGCATATGCTGGCAGCTAGTGGGGGAGTCATTTTGCAACAAGATTGTTCTCAAGAATACTTTTCAATATGAGCCTTTTCTTTGCCTTCAACAGGGAAGTTTAGTCGGCCTTGTGGATTATCCAGATGATGAGGAAGAAGATGAAGAGGAGGAAACATCCCCAAGGAAAAGACCTCGTCTTGGCTCTTAAGAATATTGAAACAAACTCTTATTGAGGGTGCTCAAATGCTGTGACTGAACTAAATAGTCTGACAGAAAGCTTTCTCCCTGGAAAATACACGAGAATGCAAGGAGTAGCAAAAGAAACTCGACTAGAAGGGTTTAGTTCTGAGAACACCAGGCTTCCAAAGAACCTAATCTCTTTCTAGTCAGTGAGTCTGCCATTCGGGCTGTTAAAAATTAAACTGAAATGGTGGGTTACTAATCAGCGCCTGGATGACAGGTTGCCAGCAAAAAGAACATCTCGGGCTCTGTGAGGGGATGGGACAAGTAACTTTTTTGATATTGCAGGGTTTCCCCAAGCTAGAAGAAAATTGTAAGGCTTCAGTTGCAAACCTAGTAACATGACTTTGTAATGGTGCTGTCCATTGTGGGGTTTTTTAAGCAGTTGCCTCTTTTAAATGATTCTCTTTCCATAAAAAAAAGAATTCAAAAGTTGGGGACCACTACTTGCACAGTCAGCCAAAACACAAGAGGGTATCACCACCCTGCTATGTAGTGCATGTTGAGTGGCAAATTGATTTCTTCCCCCTCCCCCGCCTCTAGTTTTTGGGAGGAAAAAAGAAGCTTGGTTCAAAATTGAAGATGACTACAAGAAACTGTTCAGGAAGGCTGGTACCCAAGGCTCATCAGCTTGCAGTAAAATATATAGAGAACATCAATAAGCCCTAGTGCTTGGAAGCAGCATCTGAGTCGCAACTACCAGTAGCATCTTACGGGAAGCCAGGTCGAATGGAGTTGCTCCCTGCTAGCTTCAGCATTTTCCCCCCTTGAGAAATCTGCATTTCACATTTGCAAGAGTGAAAGAGAGAGTACTGTGAAATGCCAGAAGGTTTGGGGGCATAGTCATTTTTAACCAAGAATGATTGGGAGGTGGAGTCAGCGTGCAGCACCTTGAACCTGGGAGTGGGGGGATAGTACAAAGGCTGCTTCTTAACACATTCCATGTATTTAAGCAAATTTCAAAAAAAAAAAGTACATTAGGTAAATTGAATGAGGCAACCATTTTGAGACCTTTTTTTTTATTTTGAGAGCAAGTGAACTGTAAATATTTTAATGTTAGTTTGGCCATATATGATCTGAGATCATGCAGAAGAAAGAATTCCCCAAACTACAAATTGCATTAAGAGTGATAATGAACTTATGAAACCAGCAGCAATTCACCATATAGATCACTCTTGCAATGTGTTAGGGTCCATTTCTCCTGGAACAGTTACTGACACAGTTTCCCTGTTTTGGAGATTTTGTAGTTAATTTTAATTTTAGCTATTGTTTGCAAAAGATGGGCTGACTGTGTAGATATGAAGTATAGTTTTTCCATGAAACAGAAGTTTATTTTGTATTGAAAAAGAAAACCACTGTACTTGTTTTACACCATTTGTATACATGTGGTGATATTAATGCTGAACTGTAAAATTCAGGAATTAAAATGTGACCCTGTAATTCCATAATTATTGGTTTTGTTTGGTTTGTTGTAAATGGTAAGTTAATTCAGATTTTGAAATGTGGCCATTTTAGAGGATTTTAATGAGATAGTTATTTGTACAAATTAATCATTATATGCCACCAAACCAAATCTAGCGGGGAGAAATGAATGTTCCCAGATTTGATTTGGTGTGTTGCAATGACTGACAGTTAATATGGCCTGAAGGACATATCTCTGCCATCTGGGGGCTCCAGGCAACTAAAAATAGGGGCTTCATTCTCACTTCAGCTGAAGACTCCTTTGTTTGAAGGGAAGTGGGTGGCAAAACATTTGGGCTGGTTCAGCAGTGTTACTATGTAGGCTTGATATGCTCACTTTGTATTCCTGGCAAGTCTCTCTCTTCTCCCGCTGCCCCCAAACCCGCTAACAATTTTCTTCTTAAGTTCTATATGAGGTGGGGACTGTCTCCAAGCTTTTATTAAGCAAATAAAAAAAGACCCAACACATTTGGTCTCTCATCTTCCATCCATTTTCAAAGACTGTTAAGAGCTTGAAGAACACATGCAGGCCCTGCCCCACGAGTCACTTCTATAGCAACAATCAGTGGTTTTTTTTAATAGTTTAATGACATGGAAAGTTGGGAGCGTACGAATATTGGCTGACAAATACTGTGCAAGATGAAGCTCCTCCCTTTCAAGTTACACAATCTGCCTCAGGTGCTTTCTTCCCCCCCCCCTTCCACCTCCCTTCCCGCTTGTTACGGTGGGTCGCTTTTTGCCACAGGACAGCCCACATTTCAAATGCCTGGGGCCCTTCAACTGATTTTTTTCAAAGAAAAAGATTGCCATCTGCCAACATGTCTCAGTTAAATACTATTTTAATAAAAAGTTACATGAAATGTGGATGAGCTGTGTTTCTTACTGTGTTGGAAATTTGTAGACGGTAGCCTTCTGGTGCCGGAAACGCTGGGAGAGTGATTGTTCTGAATAAAGCACAAATAATATTGAATGGGTTCACTTAAAATATATGAAAATATATTAGCTTATTCTGTTTCTTCAGCCTGCTTCAAACATTACACAGCATATTTATATGTAGGCAAATTTACAGTGTGCCTACTTCTGCCCTGTAATTTGCAAGGCTGCCAAACTTCCGTCTCACAAGGCAATCTTGTGAGAAGGAAGGAACACTTGGAGCTCTATACAGTTGATTTTAAACTTGACACTTCTACATTCATCTGTATATAAATCAAAACAAGTTTAAACACTTTAATGTCAGTCTACCAATGTACTTTTGACAAAAGAACCGACAAATATTAAACCAAGCAAAAGAGTTACAGTGTTCACATTCAGCAATACGTATTGGAATCGTAAGAATCTAAACTGCTGGATGCTTAAGACTTTGGAATGACCAAGCCTACCTTTAAAAAAAAAAAGTAAAATAAATCATTACTTTTATCTAATTTAAATCTATTTTTAAAAAAAACAAGAAAAAAGTTAATGTTTAATATAGAAAATCAAATTAATGCATACAATGTTTGTGAGCAAAGAATTCAGTTCATGGTTAAATATACTAAACAGTCATTCTTGTCCCCAACTCCTAGAAGCAGCTTCTCTGAACTATCGCTTATTAATAACTTCTTCTTTAAGTTTTGCTGCAAGGATTCTTTTCTTTAACAACCTTTGCTCCTCTTCTTCTGTCATTCCCTAAAAATAAAAATGTGAAATTTTAAACTGCAATATCCTTTGCCAAGTTACACTATGCATTTCTATATAGACATACTTCCAATTTAATGTAACTTTGTCTCGGTTAAAGTGTGCATAAGATTTTAGCCCATCAAGTATGGAATAATAATTTTGCATAGCACATTGTAGGTTCAGCAGTTTGTAAGGCAAACATGTTACAGAGCTCTTTTCAGTGTGACAGTTAAGAGAGAGAAACCTGCACTCCTGACCAACAGAGACCTGGACATCCACGCTGGGGGCTGAGTCTAGGAGCACACCCAAACTGTGACCCTGTATCTTCTGAATAGCTATTCTCTGTTCTGCCTTCTGACTGACCAAGAGCATGTCTCTCTTGCCTAGATTAAGTTTCAATGTGTTCACCTTCATCCAGTCTATTACTGAGGACAGACATGGGCTTAGAACCTTGGATGTTGGTGGAAAGAAATGCCTGGGTGTTGTCAGTATACTGTTGACACATAACCCCAGAACACCCTACAGCCTCTCCCAACGTTTTCAAGTAAATGTTAAACAGCATGTGGGACAGAAGAGAACCCTGAGGGACCCCCAAGGTATCAAACAGGAGTCCCCTTCAACCACATTCTGGATTCGCCCCTCCAGAAAGGAGCAAGAGTCCATGTAAAACAGTGCCTCCAAGTCCCATTCCAGCAAGGCAACTCAGACGGATGCCATAGTCAATGGTATCAAAAGCCGCTGAGAGGTCCAGCAGAACCAACAGGGACACATGCCATATGTGGGACCGTACTGCCCTAGCTAATAGTTGTCATCAGGATTGCTGCAAGAATGTGAAGCAGTCTGAACACATGAACGTTATCTCACTTCCCAGAGTTTACAATGCAGTCCTGAGCATTTCTACTCTAAGTCTCACTAAGTTCAATAGGGCTTACTCTCAAGTAACTGCATAAAGGAGTGTAGCGTAGCTAGTGACACTTTTATAGGCAAATTAAAAGTTCATGATATTACATGTGTGCAAGTGTTGAGCTATTCACACATACAGGTGTGAATCAGCTCACTGACCCTAGAGTGTACACTCTAGGTTTAGTGGCATATTAAATAGAAGCAAGTGGCCCAGCTCTTTTTTCCTTTTCGTGCATCAACTCTCTACTATGCAAGTATTACTGTAAGGATGTTTAGCATGTCTGTTTACCGTTGTTGCTTTCTTAGCTCCCATTTCAACTGTTAGGAATTGTGGAAACAGGCTTGTGGTTGCATATCCTTAACTAGATGAGGAACTAAGCACAGACCTACTTATACTCTGAATACTGAGCAGTTGTGCTAGGATGCAGCCTTGCCCTCTGCCTACCCCACTACTGAACAGTGCTATTCAAAGCATCAGTTTGGAACTGCACATAGCCCTGAATTTCTCCAATGCAGACTGGCTGGTTAGAACATTCTCTCCTCTTTTACCTCCTTAGAAGGTAACAGCTCTTCTTTCTGCTCTGTACTTTGTGGTGGTGGCGGCGGCGGCATATTAGTTTTGGACTCCTTCTTCAAAGCCATCAATGCATCTCGTTTCTGCTTTAGATAGTCTTCACGCTCCCTGAGCTCTTGTGCTCCAAGTTCTGATAGTTTCTGGTAAGTAGAATTTAAGAGGCAGATTTATTGCATAGTTTCTGTACTGTATTTTTTTTATCCAATTAGATATTTGTGAATGAAAGAATGCATGCTTTGTTTTTTCAAGAGTTAGATTAATTGTTAAAACTATAGTCCCAACAAAATGGAAAAACAAAAGAGATGAAGGACAAGCATGTTTGTTTACAATGTACCGTATTTTTAACTCTATAAGACGCACTTTTTCCCTCCTAAAAAGTAAGGGGAAATGTGTGTGCGTCTTATAGAGCGAATGCAGGCTGCGCAGCCATCACAGAAGCCAGAACAGGAAGAGGGATTGCTGCTTTTACTGCGCAGCGATCCCTCTTGCCGTTCTGGCTTCAGGGATTCAGAGTATTTTTTTTTCTTGTTTTCCTCCTCCAAAAACTAGGTGCGTCTTATGGTCTGATGCGTCTTATAGGGCGAAAAATGCGGTATTTATTACAAGTAGTAATTTGATGCTACCCCGCTCCAAAAAAAGGATTCCACCAGGGGCCTTGCACTTTAATTGCTGCTGTGTTTCGGTAGCCTTTAAGCAAGTAGAAAGGGAGGTCTGGAGCAAGCCACAGGCAGAAAGAGAACACCAAGCACTCTGGATTGATTTAGTCTAAGCTAGAGAAGAATTGACGCAGGTGGCGCTGTGGGTTAAACCACAGAGCCTAGGGCTTGCCGATCAGAAGGTCAGCGGTTCAAATCCCTGCGACGGGGTGAGCTCCGGTTGCTTGGTCCCTGCTCCTGCCAACCTAGCAGTTCAAAAGCACGAAGTGCAAGTAGATAAATAGGTACCGCACTGGTGGGAAGGTAAATGGCATTTCCATGTGCTACTTTGGGGTTCGCCAAAAGCAACTAAGTCATGCTGGCCACATGCTGGCCAGTAAAGCGAGATGAGCGCAGCAACCCCAGAGTCATCCACAACTGGACCTAATGGTCAGGGGTCCCTTTACCTTAGAGAAGGGTTGAGGGAGCAGGTACCATTCATTTTCTAATGTGGAACATTGTTAAGAACTATGGTAGCATCACTAGTGACATGCAAGCCACAATATTTTTTGCAGTGTACACGTTCACTGGTTTTGTACATTATGCAGGGCAGACTAAGGCTTGCTACCAGGTGTACAGTCAATTGGGAGTCACAGTTGGTCTTTGCTGCCTGATAAGTGTACCTGATGAGTAAGCATGCTTGACACACTTACACTTTACATGTTTAATGTACACCTAAAAAGAAAAGGTAGTACTTTCTTTTCTAAATTCTCCAAGGCATATAAAGGCTCACCTGGAAGGGATTTCATAATGAGCTTCTTTCAAATTAATACAAGAGGGAAAATGTATATACCAAATCGTCCCTAATTGTCTGCATACAGATACATTGGCAGACCTATCTTTAGTCAGAATATACTACTGAAGATACTATGTGTGAAAGGAGCAGGGAGACTGCAGGATATATTACATTTACAAGACCTTCTGCAAAGATGCCATAAACACAGGAATGTATGATTGCTGGACTCAGATTTCCAGAAGTGACATTCTCTTTTAAAAGATATAAAACTGACATATGAACAACAGATGGCTTCTTAATTCAACTCAGCTGAACTGTTTAACTAGGTCTGCCCTATCCAACCATGTGACCAACAACAAACCACATCATCAACAATGGAATTCAAATTCAATCTCTGAGCACATTTATTCTAAATCTAGTTACAACTACATATATTTTTCCTACAAACTGTAAGGTTAGTTTGTAGCATGTGCCATTTTAAAAGTGTTGGGGCAGACAGTGTCTCATTAACATTTATGCTGACACATACCTTGTTGTGTATGGAGTTGTGTTTCATAATAAATCAAATTTCCTTAGAATGTCTGAATACTGCTGAAGTGTGCTGAAAGTCAAATATCTATATCTAAAAAACTAAAATCCTCCTCCTCCTCCATAAAAGTCGTTACCCATCCTACTCAATCCATGTCATTGTGCTATTCATTTTTGCTTTCTACGCAGAGTTCCTTTTCCTTCTCATATTCTACTGACTTCCTGGCATCTGGCTTCTCCCATTAGCACATTTAAACACCTGACAAAACTCAACATTTCATTCTGACATTCTAGCTGATTTTGCATATCGATTCCACTCTCCTTACCTTCTATCTTCCTAAGATTGTAACTCTGAAGATAGATATTTGCTTGTTTTCATTTTATATACGGCACCTAGTTCTTGTGCTGTTCAATAAATGATATTCCAATGGTTCAAGCCAGCATTCCTCAACAGGGTCCCCCCCCCAGATGATTTGAACTACAACTCCCATCATGCCTGAACACTAGGCACCAAGCTGGGGAACCCTGGATCACACTTTCTAAATATTTATACACAACTATGTCATACAAAAAGTAATCCAAAATGACATACTAGCTACTAAATAATATTAGTTATCTTAAATGAAGTGAGCGTTCAGCTTACACGTCCTTCAGTCCCCACTTGCTTTGCTACACATTCAGAGCCATTCCCTATGGTTTTCTTCCGACTCTCTTCCTTCAGTTTGGCAGAGGGCAGTTCCCGGGTAGGTAAGTGTTTGTGTTTTGCCTCTCGACCTAAATTTACATTGAAAGGAACAAATCCATCATACGTTCATCACAGTAATACAAATCAAAGGTAAGGGATCTTTGTACCTTGATGGATTTTAACCAAAGAGCAAGAATTTTAAAAACAATTCTTCATTTCCTAAAGGCTTCCCAAATACTAATATTTTATGGATTGTATTCCAACTAAGTCCACTACATTAAATGAGGCTACTCTAACTTAACCATTTCCATTAACTTCACTAGGTCTTCTGAGCAGAAAGAACACACAAAATAAACACTGTGAAGTGCTTTACCCATCAAAAACAAAATACCAGGTTTTATTCAGTGTTCACGGTGTCTTTCATCTCCTTCAGTTCTGAATGTTTGAGGTCTGTTCTCTGGTTTGTTACATGAAGTGGGACTGAGCCTTAACAGGAAAGCGGGAGCAAGGTCTTCTGTTGAGACTTAGACATTTCCTGTCTGAGCTGCAGGGAGAGCTGCATGGCCTGCTTAAAGACCTCTTGACATCCATGAAGCAGTACCATTTACAGTAAGAATAACTGTTTCTTCTCCCCATCCCAATTTCCTCTGGAGCATGTCAGGTGCTATTGCTCTTGGGATGAACTGACAGCTGGGTTTTGCTCATCTTAGAGTCTGAACAATTGCGATACCAGGTTTCCAAAGAGCCTCTGCTTTTCATTTTTCAAACATACAACACAAAGTTCAACTGAAGCATCAACATTCTTCCCTCCCAGAATTCCCATTTAAATGTCAATTCCCATTTATATTTTATGACCACCCAATCCAAAGTCCTGAGTGGTTCACACCAAGTTATGCTGTATCTTTTTTCATCTCTGTATTTTAGATACCTGCAGCTAACCATACCTGATGAATGTTTTGTAGTATGGTCAGCAGGCTCTTTAGTTCCTGCACTTTCACTCAGATGTCCTGGAGATTTGTGTGCACCATCAGATGATCTCTGTTTCTCATGTGACTATATATTTAAGCGGGGGGGGGGGAGAGATAATAGAACAGTATCAAGTAATGCACTCAAGACACTAAAAACAAGTACAGTAAAAACCACATATAGCTTTTCACAGTCTTAGAGCTACTAAAACATGGTTTTTGACAAATGCTATTTATTTAACAAAATTATGCTCTCACAAATTAATTAGGCAAGGGAGCTTGATCTCAATTAAAACATGGGAAGTTGTGTGTGTTCTGCTATGGCTATACTTTAACCCAACTTTAAAATCATCCTTATGATCTTCTCCACTCATGTATGAGAAATTTAAGCTCCCCACTTCAGTCTCCCCAATCACACATATCCAAAAGACCTCTCAGAGAGTGAGGGGCCATCTAGAAGCCACCACATAAGGCACTATTGCTGCTGTTAAGACAAAATAACTACCCCTTCCTCTGTGCTTAAGAACTGATTTCTGGGAGGGTTGCTGTTGCAACCTCTAAAGCGCATTCAAAGTGAGGCACATACAAGACAGGCATTAATTCCACTCCAGATAAACACCCTTGAATGAGACACTAACTTTCCCAACCAATAGGACAAGGCTGTTCTCATGGCTCTTAATAGGTAAAGGTAAAGGTACCCCTGCCTGTACGGGCCAGTCGTGTCCGACTCTGGGTTGCGCGCCCATCTCGCTTAAGAGGCCGGGGGCCAGCGCTGTCCGAAGACACTTCCGGGTCACGTGGCCAGCGTGACAAGCTGCATCTGGCGAGCCAGCGCAGCACACGGAAACGCCGTTTACCTTCCCGCTTGTAAGCGGCCCCCATTTATCTACTTGCACCCGGGGGTGCTTTCGAACTGCTAGGTTGGCAGGCGCTGGGACCGAACGACGGGAGCGCACCCCGCCGCGAGGATTCGAACCGCTGACCTGACAATCGGCAAGTCCTAGGCTCTGTGGTTTTACCCACAGCGCCACCCGCATCCCTGGCTCTTAATAGACATCCTGACAAATTGATCTCAGAATGCTACATGTCTTCCATATGGAATCTCCCCCCTCCCCCAAATGTTGTCTACCTTCGTCATCAGGGCCTGTAGATTAGCTATATTTTTTTCCACTGCAGCACCATCTATCACCTACTTTGTGATTCATTAAAAATAGTCTTTACTTCAGAATATTTTCTCACACCATCATCAGTCAGCTTCCTGAACGATTTGCTCAGTAGCGTGATAAAGGAACACTCATCATATCCATGTCATCAAGTTCACAAAAGAAAAAAGGGAAAGGAAACGAGAGTTGCAAAGAAAGCATATGTAGCAGGGATATGCTGGTAATTTTATTAAGCCACCAAAGCCTGATGAGAAGCACGTGTATTTGATGGAAGGCTGGATTTATAGAGCTATAATTAAATAATAACATCACTACATTCACAGAGTAGACTAATTCAATTGAACTTCAGGATACCTCATTAGTTCTTTTCCTTTCTTGCTCCAGATCATATTCTTCCTTTGACTTTCTGCAAAACAGAATATGAGGGAACACGCAATTCAACAGTTCAGTTATTTATCTGCTCACTCACAAAGCAAAACAACGAGCAGCCTCTCCTGACAGTCAAAATGTGCCCCATTTTGGGGATCCCTCCTTTTCCCCTCAACCACTTGTGCCCGAGCCCATGAAATTCAGGAGGTTCTCCCAAACTCTCATTTGGGGGGCACAATTTGTTAGAGAAACAAAACAAAAAGGGTCTTTTTACCTGAGAACCTCCCTTAATATTTTCATTTCCTCTTCTTCAATTTCAGTATATGCATCAGACCCATCTGTCAAACAATCAGGTAGCACACCTGTTTAAAAAAAAAACAAGGAAAGAGGAGTCAAGGAGGATGACATTCAGTTTTCCACAGATGAAGTACAAGCTGTTATCCGATTGTCAAAATGTGCAGAGAAACATGAACTTTTAGAACTGATTATTTTTAGGTGATTTCCACCGGAATTATCTCCATATGTGTAAAATAAAAAAGACATTTGTTACAGAAATCTTGGAAGATTATTAAAGAAAGAGAGAGATTGGAAACTCAAGCATCTGTAGCAACATCTTGAACTCTGTTTGAATCCCACATAACAAACCTAACAGACAATTTTACGGTTGGCTTAAAAGAAATATGAAACAGATCACAGAAAAACGGCATTTTAATTAATAGATATTGCATCATACAAATTCAGTCAAGTAAGAGAACTATCCATCATTTAAGTCCTTCCCTGCCCCTCTTTTCCAAATGACTGAAAGCCCAGCTCCTTCAAGAATGGAGGAGAAAGGGAATTATGTACAATAGATGCTTTTCATCCTGCTTTTATCCTGTGAGATAACCAAGGTACAAATAACTTGGAAAAAGCAGAGTATGTAATTCCGCTCCCCTCACATTTTGGGCTGCCCATCTGAGCATTGACTGCAGCAAGAGGAAGGAGGAGAACAAGAAAAACCCAGAAAGAGCTCACCTTAGTCCCTTCACTGGGCAGTAAATGACAGATCCTTCTAGCCTATCTTCTTCCTCTGATTATCTTCCTGCCTTCATACTTTCCCTTCTCTGCTCCTCTTTGCCTTTTCAAAATATTTGTTCTTTCTGCCCTCTTAGCCTTCAGTATTTTGCCCCTTTAATGCCATTCTTTCAGCTCCCTCGCTGTTGTGTCTCATGCCCCTTTCGACCACTTACGCATGCCTCATTGAGCCCGCTGAAGCCCCCTGCCTCAGAAAAACTTGAAGCCACCCCTGGTCTCAGCAAATGAAGAGATGAAATGGGAAGACAAGTTTCTCATTGGCCGCTACTCACCATTTCTTTCCTGAATTATTCTTATGGCTTGCAGTTGCATTTCAATATTTTTCTGGACCATCATCTCTTTAAACAACCTGAAATCTTCAGCTGCCAATACTGGCTGCAAGATGGCCTGTGTGAGGAAAGATGTTTTATAATAATTTAATAATAATAATAATTTATTATTTATACCCCGCTGATTTGTTTAAATCTTACAGTGCAAACAAATTTGCAGTCTGATCAATTTTTTTAAAAAAGGCTCAAGTCCCACATTACTGCAATAGTCTAAATTTAGGGAGGAAAGTACTGAAAAAGTTATTGTACCACCACCTACACGGCTTTATAGCTTTCCTCCTATACCACCTTACGTAGGAGTAAACCCCACACAATCGATGAAAGTTACTTCTGATAAGATATTAAGACAGGACTGCATTGTCCTTTACCCAAGTATTCCTACAAATCAAGACTACAAGCATACCTCATGTTGCGTCCGCTTCAAACTGCATTTTGTTGGGTTGTGGACTGCCAAAACCTGGAAGTACCGGAATGGGCAGTTGCGCATACGCAGAAGTGCTAAATCGCACTTTGTGCATGCACAGAAGCGCTGAATCGTAGAAGCGGGTTGCGAACGCTGCGGGTTGCGAATGTGCATCCCACACAAATCACATTCACAACCCGAGTGTCCACTGTGTATATAATATTGGAATACGGGAAATCATCTAGTCTCTCTCATGGGAAGGTATGCAAATACCTGTTTCCAGGAGGTTACAATAATGAACATTTATATCAGAACTAGGGAATCTCTGGCTCTCCAGGCCTCTCTATTCAGCCTCCCTCCAACTGGCAGCCTGAGGCACAGCCATAGCTTGCTCTTACTGCATCAATACTTACTGCATGTGCTCATATGTGCCTGCAGAAACACTTAGTTTTTGCAACTGCCCTAGATAGTAAGAAGTATTTTTAATTAGTATATTGTTTAATTGTGCTGCATGTTCATATCAATATAATGTGCAACACTGAGTGCGCATCCTGAGTAAGCAGGTAGTGCAGCTACAAAACCAGAAACTGGCAATAACACGCCAGCACGCCTTGCACCTGATCCTATGTGCTTTTTCACCACTGCCATGGAACCAAACCACAGGTAACTTGCTAAGACACTTTCATCATTAGTATTCCACTAGTTCACTTTTTTCTCAGCTTCTGGGTGAAAGTTGAGTGACAAGGGCTGCAGTCTTAAACATATTGTTAAACATGAGCTCCGTTACCTTCAATGCTCATTCTTTTTAGCCCGTTGACTTTTAATTTGTGAGGTTTTATATATACAAAGCATGCATTCTGTTAAACTGAAACATCACTGTGTGTGTTTGACACAGGAGGGTTGTTGTTTTTTTAATACAAATGAAAATATATACAAAGGGAACACAATCACCTATCTCCAGGATTGTTTTTTAACTTTGCTAAAAGAAAATTTACCTGTGAGGTACGAGTCTTGGCAAGAGGAGACATACAAGCTTCCTGGAATTTGTCTTCATTGATTCCAACTTCTTTAAGGTAACTGTCTAACAGCTTTTCAACCTGCAAAAAATGGATGGCCGAAAAGATTATTCCACAGTTCTCTATAGCCTTGAACCCTACCCCATTCCTTTAAACTGGGATATAAATATTTATTTGTTTATTTATAATAAATAATGCAAGTCATTGTACATAAGTTAGTTTACTTTGTTTGCTGCTGCCAAGTTTCCCTATTTCTCTTAATTTATATAGCAGCATATATGTGCCTGATGTTATACAAAATACAGGAGTACATCCCTGGAATTTGAGATTTGCAATCAAAAAAGGGAAAACAACAGTGGAAGAGGAGAGAAAGGAAAGTGGAAGGAATTAGGGAAATAATATGTGATGATTTCAGTTGCACTTGCTTAGGCTTAGCTACAATACAGAATAGGAACTATGGGGGTTGTGCCCAAAGATTTAATGAAAAGGTGGGTTTTGAGGAGGAATCTGAATGAAGAGATATGGAAATGCAGAGGGGGCAGTTCAAGGCCTAGGGATCAATAATGCAGAAATAATGGAGGCCTTTGGAGAATACCCAGACAGTTAAGGGGTGGTGGTGCTGTATAAGCAATCATAGACAGTAATGCATTGGGATGTAAGTGGAGAGAAGGGGGACTAGGCCAAAAAATTGCTCAGGTGGATAGTTATCACTGTGCATTACTAAGACACAGATGAGGACTTAATATCACAAACAGGCTGTTCATATCATAGTTTATGTCTGCATAATTCGCTTACTAGTTTTCCCACATTCCATTTCTTCAGTTACAGACATTACTTGCTCTCAGCCATTTGCCACCCACTAGTGAGCCTGGCAGAATGTTCTCTTGTGCTGCCTTTTTCTTGTTGCTCCCCCTGTCACTCCTCTCCAACCCTCCACTACTTTTTTCCAGTTTAGGTACATATGCATGTACAACTGCTGCTAATATTCTTGCTGTGATGGGAACACAACAAATATAAATAATTCTAAGTGATCTGAAACAGCAGGACTTGGATGTGCCAGGTTATGCTATAATTCAAGACAAAGTACAACAGGAGCTCACTCCTAACATCTTATTTTCAGACTCAATCACAGGAGCAATGAGCCATAGTTTTATTCTTTAGAAAGAAAAGAATGGCTATAGAAATGATTGACTGAATGGGATGAAAGCAGGAAAAAAGATGCAGGCAGTTGCTTTTGATTGCAGTCATACAACCACAGCAATATCAAGTTCTGGCTATAAAGGCTCAGCACAAAATAAAAGGATACAGTTTCTTCAATCTAGAGCATCTGCAACAAACTAGGACAATGATAACTAAGCACAATGCAAAGACTCAAAGTTGGCAGAACAATAGCTCTTTTACATTAAACCATTAGTCAGCTAATTTTCAAAAAAAGTAATACTCATAGGAATATATAAGTTGACAGAAGTGGTGCAGAAACCATTCCTGTTTCAATAGCACATTTTTCTTAAAAAATGAAAATTAAACAACCACTACTCACCAGAGCTTTATATTCCTGATGAATCTCAGTGTAAGACAGCTTGCTTTCTTCTTCTTCATCAAAAACTAAGGAGACAAGTTTTACTTTTTTAAAATGTGAATTCTCAAAAAAAAAGTTTCCAAAATAATCTGCAACTAGAAACCTTTTCAAATGACATTCCTAGTACAGTGGTACCTCAGGTTACATACGCTTCAGGTTACAGACTCCGCTAACCCAGAAATAGTGCTTCAGGTTAAGAACTTTGCTTCAGGATGAGAACAGAAATCATGCTCTGGTGGCCCGGAACAAATTAAGTACTTAACCCGAGGTACCACTGTATAGTGAAATTTATCTAAATAAAAAGGTAAGACCATCCATAACATTAGATGGCCAATCCAGCAGGTAATTGTGTCTCACTTCCAGATTTATTACATCCTCCATGATACACCCCACCCCTCTGCTTTCTTCTCTTCTACTGGCATATAACACCTCTGCCCACTCAGCCCGTCAAGCTACTTTTTTTGCCTTACTTATACCTACTAGCGGTATGTATTAACCACAAGATTCCTTTTGGGCCCAAGTTCAGCATTTCTAAACACATTCCAACTCAGTGCAAGGTGCTTCATGGGCTGCCAATTCAACTCAGGGTCCACCTAAGCCAGGGGTCTGCAACCTTTAAGACAAAAAGAGCCACTTGGACCCATTTCCGAAGGAAAAAAAAACTGGGAGCCGCAAAACCATTGCGACATTTAAAGCATGCGCGCCGCTGCCCTCCAATCTGACAGCGGGTGGGAAGGTGACTAACGCACGCACCGCCCCCATGCGACGTCACAGCCAGTACAGCGCCCGCCACAGTGGGGAAGAAGAAGAAGAAGAGTTTGGATTTGTGCCTCCTCCCCTCGCTAGTATCCGCCCCGGAGCCGCGGCAAAGGTGTAAAAGAGCCACATGCGGCTCCGGAGCCGCGGTTTGCAGACCCCTGACCTAAGCCTTCCACCTCCCCCACCTTTCCATTTGCTATTGGGAATTGTTTTTATGGCCATAACTCTCCCCCCCCCCCTTTAACAGACCTGGATGGAGCTTGCAGGCATTCACACCCCCTCCACAGTGAGGAAAGCCTGCCAAAACCAAATGGTTTTGTGCTGGACACCTTTGAAAGTTTGATATCTGTAACTTCTTTCTATTGCTGTGGAACTGGGCAAGGTTGCTCAATTCTGAGGGCACAAATCAGATTTCACATGAATAGCTGCAGTGGTTTCCCTGCAAGGGCAACCAGCACAGTTTTAGTGTAAGTAACAAGAGGTAATGTGTAATCTCCCCTGGTGTTTTGTGTCCAGATGTTCTGCAAACTGAGAGTAAGAAACAGACCAAACTGTGGACAGACAGGTCCAATGGCCTTTATGCTAGGTTTCTTTAAAATTGATTTTCAGGTGGGAAGAACTAGAAGAGATTTGATTTCCAAGTACAATTATTCCTTACAAGCTTGACCTGTCAGTCAAAGCAGAGCTTTCCCTCTTCCCACTCTGAAGTTTGATCTCCCTCTTCCAACCCACCCTGGCATTACGGCAAGCCTAGAGACATTACTGTCGCTTTTAGCAAATGCTTGTCTACAACATTTTTTGAATGTCTGGATTGCTTATGCATCACACAATGTTTCAGGGCACCCCACTTCAAATGATGCTACCTTGTACACATCCTACTTTGCTTCTGACAAGCCAAAAATCCCTCCACAGTAACAACTTTGCCTTGGGATTCAGCTGAATCTGGACACCCCAACTCCTAACCCCTATACTTCCAGCAAATTACAATATTTTTCGCTCTATAAGACGCACCAGACCATAAGACGCACCTAGTTTTTGGAGGAGGAAAACAAGAAAAAAAATATTCTGAATCTCAGAAGCCAGAACAGCAAGAGGGATCTCTGCGCAGCGAAAGCAGCGATCCCTCTTGCTGTTCTGCCTTCTGGGATAGCTGCGCAGCCTGCATTCGCTCCGTAAGACGCACACACATTTCCCCTTACTTTTTAGGAGGGAAAAAGTGAGTCTTATAGAGCAAAAAATACGGTATATCTATTCCAAGCATCCTCAGCAATGAAATCCATAAGTCTACCCTTCTTTTCAGCAATCCAGGTAGGATCTTGATGCACAATTTGGAAAATCCCAAATCATAAGTTTCACTCAAAATGTACACAAAGAAACTAGAACACTGTTTCAAGCAGCGGCCCTAGGCAACAATATACTTCAGTTTAACAACACTTGATGTAAGATAGCTGTCTGTATGGACAATAGAGTAATACAGTAACAATATAATAATCTACAAAAAATCCAGAAGTGCTCTGATGAAAATTCAGCTAACTTCTATGACACTCAGAATAAGCAAATCATTCCAAAAACAAAGTGGTTGTTAACGGAGGCCTAACAAAGATTCAGTTTCATCTTGCCTGCAGGAAAGACATACAGTCATACCTTGGAAGTCGAACGGAATCTGTTCCAGAAGTCCGTTCGACTTCCAAAACGTTCAAAAACAAAATCTTGGCATCTGATTGGCTGCAGGAAATTCCTGCAGCCAATCAGAAGCCATGGAAGCCTTACTGGACATTTGGGTTCCAAAAGAACATTCGCAAACCGGTAGCCAAAACATCCGAGTTCCAGGGCATTTGGGATCCAAGGTACGGCTGTACTTCAAATGGAATAAATGAGAAGTATTTTGAGGCAGTTCAAAATGTTTCCAGCTAACAAAAAAAACCCCAAAAGAAGTAAATGCTTCCTTCTGTTCCCCATTGATCTTCAGTGAGCCATGTGTTAAACAGTTGTGAGGTTATAGAGCTCCCCTTTCCCCCCTAAGAATCCAACAAAAATAAGATGACTAACTAGATTTCGGAAGCGTGTCCACTAACTGCATGCTATATATTTGGAATCAGCTGATCCCTATTGAACTTAGACAAGGCTGAAAACTTACTTTTAAGAGGGCTTTCTCTGAAGTTTGATGTAGCTATTTTACACTGTATACACTATTTGTATATTTTGATGTGTTTAAGATCTGCTTTTAAATTGCTATGTATATATTTAGTGCTAATATATTAAGTTTTCTGGCATACACAACTTCAGAAACATTTATTGGGAAGCAATTTAAATATTTTAAAGTAACTAAATTATCTATCAAATTGCATCTCATTGTATGTAGGTGAGTGACCCCAATACAGGCTCAAGCTTAAACAATGTAGCTGCAGAATTTTTTTAATGGGGAAACCTTTCTGAAATTAAGAGCCAGCAACTCACATTTTAACAAGGATGAACAATCTTAAAAACCTTTATTTTACAAAATAAATCAGCCCAATCCTGCTGTAGCCACGCATGCTTAAAAATGCCACGAACAGCTTCAGAACATGAATGAAAATGCAAGAAATGGCAAACATACATGCACATTCCAAACTCGTGTTCAGTTAATACCCATACTCCTTGATCCAGCAAAGCAATAAACACATGGACAATCTGTTTACATACGCAATGTCTTAAACTGGATTTGTCCAAGTGTGTTTAAATTTGCTCTTCAAACAAAATACCTCAGGAAACTTTTAAAGGGCTGCATAAACACTTCTTCCTCCAGATTTGTAAATAAAAATAATAAAATCCTGGATTCCAAACATTCCCTTTCTTGCCCACTTCACAAAATTCACATCCTTTAGTCTAGCTAGTATCTGCCTCCAGCTTTTCTAGGAATGTTCCAACCAGAATAGAGTCAACAACAGTAAGCTATCTCCTACCAAAAGAATTAAGAGTCATAAAAAGTATCTGCCTCAGCAAAATGCAATAGTGACTCAGTGCAAAAGCTATTAAAAACTGTAAGGTACATGGACAGAGAAGCTCAAAATGAAAAGGTTCTGGGAGATTTGACAGCTCTGTAATTCTGATGTCATATAACCACCTTCATAGCAACTTCACTGAATTCTGTGTGATTCTCTACTTAAGGGATTTTAGGACCTCCTTGGAAACACCAGAAATCTACAAAATAACCAATATGTGCACAATCCAGTCCAAAATAAAGGCACTTCCCCCCTTTTTTTACATCCCAACAGAAACGTCACTTGGGGTTTTTGTTCCAACGGGTTTGACACATGCACTTAATTATGCTTTTGGAGGGGGTAGAACCGCAAGCGTGCTACGACGATGGGAATTGTATTTTTACGTCTCCATATATAGCCAATGGCCATCCCAATGAAGTATGAGCACGAATCACACAACTGCAAAGCGAAAGACTGTTACCTGCATCAGGCCAGAAGAAAAAAATCTACAATGTCCAGAATTTTTTTTAAAAAAAACATCCCTTCTGGTCAGCATCCCTAAGAGGGTTTGGCACTTGCACTATCCGGAGAGGATTTCACTTTTACGCGCTTTGAAAGGATTTCGTTTCTAAGCGCCCTTGAGAACTGAATCAGCCCCAATTAAATAATAATAAGGACGATCATTCCCGCAGCCTCCCTTGGTCCCCAAGTGCCACTGGGCCTCTTTACATACATTTCTGAGGGGAAGGGGGGGGGACACAAAAACAGATTTTTAAAACCGGGGAGGGCGAAGACTGCAGGGAGATTCCCCTCAGGGGGATAAAGTCTGTGAGGGAAGGATACGCTTATTCTTATTTCCTTATATCCCGCCTTTCCTCCCATATATTAATGGGAGGTGGTTCTCTACCCGCCCGCCCTCAGAGCCGCCCCCCCCCCGGTCGCTTCTCACCCTCGCACTTGTGCTCCACGAACTCCAGGATGGGGATGGACCAGGCGGGGCTGCGGAGGAAGCCGGCGATGCTGTCTACCACCCACTCCACCTCCGCCTCCGCCTCCCCCTCGGCCGCCATCTCATCTCCCCTCCCCTCTCTCCCTCACAGGCTCCCTCACGAAACACGGGTGCGCGCCCGCGCGCGCGCGCGGCCTTCAAGGGGCGGGCGGGAAAAGAAGGCGAAGGGGAAAAGGCGGGCTGGAGGGAGAAAGAAAGAACCGCAAGGGCCTCACGCAAGGCGGCGGTTGGGCTGGGGGGGGGGAAGGTTCGGTTCCCGTCACTATGGCAACCGCCGTCACGGAACGGGCAGCGGGGAGGAGGAGGGAAAGGAAGCGCGAGCGCACGTATTGTTACGCACGCGCGTGCGCGCGGCTGCGGCGACGCTACCCCGCCCTCCTAAGGAGCGATCCAGTCACGCGCTCTCGCGCTCGCTCGTTTTCTCAGGCCGCGGTGACGCGAAGGCGCATGCGCGTCGCGTTCGAAGTAGGGCTTCGTGTTCCCCGTTATGTGTACTGTAAATCGAAAAACGTCAGTGTCCAACCGCCCGCTGCGGGGCGCGCGAGGTTCGCGAGCTCGCGGCAAACGCCGCTGCGGGGTATCGGGCGAGCGGGGGGAGAGCCTGCCCCTATTGCTTCGTGTATATATATATATATGTGCTGTGGGTATATAAAGGAAATTAGGAAATAAAGCCCCCTAAGCGGTACCTTCCCATCCTCGCAATGACTTTACTCGGCAAATATTGGTTTATGGAACCCATTAGCACACACAAAAACCACAATACAGTACATCAGTCAGGGCATGGACGAATTAGGGAAATCAGTCAGTCAGTTTTATTGCACATAGCCAAAGGCTGCGGCAATGTACACAGAATCATTCAGCAATTAAAAAGAAAATATGCTGGATTAATACAAAAAACTTAAAACATTTATAATATCAAGGCATCTACTCGAAACAGAGCTATAAAAATACCTTAATATACAGGTTAAGACATTAAACAATAAAATTTATAGGCTAAAATCATCAACTGGCCACTAATATATTAAAAGATAATGTTAATTTATACATTGTGCAATTATATTATTATATTCAGAATTTGGTGATAAAGATGGAATATAGCTTGATGTAGACAGGGTCAAATAAATTCATCTCCTTTACAGTTGGTGGCTATCTTGGCTATATAATTTGCTCTAATTTTCTTAGCAGCAGCTGCAAAGAGTGCTACACGCCAGGTCATATACTTATCTGTGTCTGCGAGGAGATATAAAATCATTTCAGACGGGTTCTGGCTAGGGGACCTTGTCATTATAGGTGCTAAAAATCATTCTCTTGCTTCATTATATAAGGGGCAGCGCAAGATATAAAGCATAAGGTCCTCTACTTCAGGACATCCCCTAATGCAAACACGTTCGCTTCTTGGCCTTTTGGCTAAGATCAAGTGTAGTATCACTCTAGAAAAATGGGCTGCTGGGGGTCTTGTGTGACACCTGGAAGACTCATTTTTATAGTAACATGCGGTTATGTTGTCTAAAGGGTATTCGTGTTATCCTTGGAGGGAGGGCGATGAAGATGATGATGATGACAATAATAATGCTCTGCCTTTTTCCCTCAAGGTGTCTTACAGATAAAAATAAGCACAGCTAAAAACATAGGGGGGGGAGCATTAAAAAAATAAAATAAACATGTTTAATTTGTTTTTAAAATTGACAGTATTTAAACATAACATGTCAGACACAATACATTTGTGGGTAACTCTGCATTTTCCTAGGGGGAGCTTTATGCCACAATGAACCTGATAGACTTTTCAAACGCCACACAACTCTGCTTAATATATAACAGAAAGGCAGTTGAGAGATGACCTAACCTGGGGACAAAACAGCAAAGACCTGATGAAGAGATCACAGCAGAGGTTATATTTTCTGAGAATCCTCCGGAAAAATAATCTCTCAAAGGACCTGTTGATGGCATTTTACCATTGTACTGTTGAGGGTGTATTAACTTATGGTCTCTGTGTGTGGCATGGTCAGGGGGAAAACAATGCTGTCCAGGGTTATAAATAATAATAATAATAATAATAATAAATTTTATTTATATCCCGCCCTCCCCAGCCGAAGCCGGGCTCAGGGCGGCTAACAACAGTCAAATAGTCAAACAGTCAAATTCTAAAAACATTCTAAAAACATTTCATTATAAAAATTAATTAAAATCAAATTGTTGGCAACCGATTAGGCAAGATTCTGTGCAGGTTGCCAGAGGAGGGAGTCAGGCTGCGCCCTGACCAAAGGCCTGGTGGAACAACTCTGTCTTGCAGGCCCTGCGGAAAGATGTCAGGTCCCGCAGGGCCCTAGTCTCTTGTGACAGAGCATTCCACCAGATTGGAGCCGCCGCCGAGAAGGCCCTGGCTCTAGTTGAGGCCAGCCTAACCTCTCTGAGGCCTGGGACCTTGAGGATGTTGTTATTTGCAGACCGTAGGTTTCTCTGTGGGGCATACCAGGAGAGGCGGTCCCGTAGGTACGAGGGTCCTAGGCCGTATAGGGCTTTAAAGGTTAAAACCAGCACCTTAAACCTGATCCTGTACTCCACCGGGAGCCAGTGCAGCTGGTATAGTACCGGATGAATGTGATCTCGCAGCGAAGACCCCATAAGGAGTCTCGCCGCGGCATTCTGCACCCGCTGGAGTTTCTGGGTCAGTTTCAAGGGCAGCCCCACGTAGAGCGAGTTACAATAGTCCAGTCTGGAGGTGACCGTCGCATGGATCACAGTGGCTAGATCAGGGCGAGAGAGATAAGGGGCTAACTGCTTAGCTTGGCGGAGATGAAAAAATGCCGCCTTTGTTATAGCTGTAATCTGCGCCTCCATAGAGAGGGAGGTATCGAAGATTACACCCAAACTCTTAACGGACGGTGCTGGCACTAATTGCACCCCCGCAAGAGATGGGAGTTGCCCCCTCGATCCCATATCGTCCCGCCCCAGCCAGAGGACCTCTGTCTTCGAAGGATTTAACTTCAACCGGCTCCCACGAAACCATCCAGCCACAGCTTCCAGACATCTGGTCAGTGTGTCTGGGGCCGAGTCAGGATGGCCGTCCATCAACAGATAGAGTTGGGTGTCATCAGCATACTGATGGCAACCCAGCCCAAAACTCCGGACAAGCTGGGCGAGGGGGCGCATAAAGATGTTAAAAAGCATTGGGGAGAGAATCGCACCCTGAGGCACTCCACACACCAAGGAGTGACGCGATGACAATTCCCCCCCAAGCGCCACCCTCTGTCCCCGACCAGAGAGAAACGAGCGCAGCCATTGAAGGACTGTGCCCTGGATCCCCACGTCGGCAAGGCGGTGGTCCAGAAGTTCGTGATCGACCATGTCAAAGGCTGCTGACAGATCAAGAAGAATCAGCAGCCCCGACCCGCCTCGATCCAGCTGCCTGCGGAGATCATCTGTTAGGGCGACCAGAGCCGTCTCGGTCCCATGCCCAGCGCGGAAGCCGGACTGGAATGGATCCAGAGCAGATGTTTCATCCAGAAACCTACCGAGCTGTTCAGCAACCGCTCTCTCAATCACCTTACCCAGGAATGGAAGATTCGAGACCGGGCGGTAATTGGATAGATCTAAGGGATCTAATGATGTTTTCTTTAAGAGCGGACGCACCACCGCCTCCTTCAGTTCCCCTGGGAATATCCCGGTGCCAAGGGACAAATTGATGATATCCCCCAGGGGGGCCCGCACCTCGTCTGGACACGCTCTAATTAGCCATGACGGGCACGGGTCAAGAGGACAGGTGGTGGGCTTTCCAGCTTGGAGGAATCTGTCCACATCAGCTGGAGATATCCGGTCAAAGTGGTCCAATACTGGACCCGAGGACAGTCGAGGGGCCTCCAGTTCCTTTATTGTATCCAAATTGGCAGGGAGGTCATGGCGGAGCAACAGGACCTTCTCCGCAAAAAAGCTCGCAAATGCCTCACAGCTGTGTGTCAGATTATTATTTAAATTTGGCTGTCCTTCGAGGGACGTTAAAGACCGAATTATACTAAATAATTGCGCCGGGCGAGAGCTAGCGGATGCAATGGAGGCTGAGAAGTAAGCCTTCTTAGCGGCCTTCACTGCCATCTCATAGGTTTTCATAAAAACCCTATAAGATGTTCTTGAGGCTCCGTCACGGGCGCCCCGCCATACTCGCTCTAGCCGTCTGAGGTCCCGCTTCATTTTCCGAAGCTCCTCGGTACACCAGGGAGCCCGGTTTCTGCGGGGTCGCAGAGGGCGCTTAGGTGCGATCTCATCGATGGCTGCCAGGAGCTGGGTATTCCAGCCCTCAACAAGCTCAATCAATGAGTCGCCAGGGGGAGCAAGGTCCCGCAAGGCTTGACGGAATCTATCAGGGTCCATCAGCCTCTGCGGGCGAACCCAAATTGGCTCGCCACCTAAGCAGGGTGGGGGTGGAAAGTCAATCCTGGCTTTCAGAGCGTAGTGATCAGACCATGGCACCTTCATCGAAGGAGACATCGAAGGAGACATAAAGACTGCGGAGAGAATAATTGGGTGCACTTTTCCCACCTTGGATCAAATCTATGCTTCCAGGTGCCATAAGAAAGCTGCAGAGATAGTACAGGATAGTATGCACCCTGGAAATGATCTCTTTCAGCTTCTGCCTTCTGGAAGAAGGTACAGGGTTATAAAGACTAGGACTAGTAGCCTGAGAAACAGTTTCTATCCAAATGCAATTTTGGTTTTAAACACAGTGTAAGGTAGTCTCTATGTGAGTATATTGTATTCAATTATGGGGTATCAGAGTTTTTAGGGGCTAACCAGGCTGGGATAGTTGGTATAGCAGGCTTGTCGGTTTTTGAATGTCTGATGTAGATTTTTTCAATTTCGTTGTTCTGTATGGGACAATGACAATAAAGATTATCGTATCGTATCGTATGACACCTATGAGGGAAATGTTCATGGGCTGGAGCAACAGCAAGAACAAAAAATGTTTTTATAAAATGCCACGAGACCCGGTAGGGCCATTATCCATATGAAGGAGAGTTTTTTTCTCTTTTCTCCATCCATTTCCCCTTTTCCTCCAGTGGGCTTTTTGCCCCCTCTTGTCAGTATTAATGGCCACAAAGGGCCTATCCAAGTTAATGTGTTTTGTCTATTAATTTAGGACGAACTCAGCAAGAATGATGCAGTCGTATTTCTACAGCTTATACACACAGCTATCAATTGTTGTTTTGGTGAGTGAGGATGCAGCTCATTTGCTTTTTAATACGTTTTTGTCTTTTTCCGTTGCTGGAATACTTTGTTGGCCTCTATACGCTGAATTTAAAAAATTAAGAAAAAGAGCTTTCACCATGGAGGGGCAAGGCATTTGAGGTACTAAACTGCCTCAAGATAAACTGAATTTCCTAATTCAGGAGGCAGTCGTGCCCCAGTAGGTTAAAGGCCAAAAACCTGGTTACAGAGGAAGCTTTCGTCTGGTGCCTAAAACTATGTATATAATCATGGTGCCAGGTGAGCCTCGCTGGGGAAAGCATGCCAGAAATGGGGAGCCAGCACAGAGAAGGACTGTCCTCATATGGTCCAACTTCTTGTGGAGGGGGCACACATCAAGGACATGTTAATTCTGATAGGCATTCAATTTAACCCATTAATTTATGTTGTCTTTATTGGGATACCGATGCCTTGGTGTGTAGAGTTTTTGAGGACAATCTCCCAGTGGCTGCAAATGCCCTTCGAAGGCACAACCATACCTGCTCAACTGGTGTACACAGGAATATGTTAGAATCTATTTACATATGTATTACATTTCTAATCACCAGAGACATATGCAGTTTTCTATAGGTTATGGTTATTGTCTAGATTTCTTCTATTGCTATAAGAGCAGGAAGCCTCAGGGCACAATCTTAGCAGCACTTACTCATGTGAGACTTTGGAAACCTATATTACTGCGGCCTATTTTTAATTAGTCTGTTTTCCTTGGTTTCCCACCTCCCATCTAGCTCTTTGTTCTCAGCTTTGCTGAGAACTTACTTCTGGCACCTTTTTTAAAAAATCTATTTTTCCTACTATGCTAAAGCAACCAAGTTAATCCAGCAAGTTCTTTGATCCTTGAAGAACAGATGTGCACAGATCTGTGTCCTGTAGTAAGAGGGGAAATGAAGCATTGTACTAGAAAGATATTACTGTAATACTTTGAATGAGAAATATGAAATATTTATATTAAGCTTTTTAAAATATATTGTCTATATATTATTGGGAACAAGGAGATTGGATAAGAATAAAGCTACATGAGATTTTAGGAGGTGAATATAAAGTATGTCAGTTTTACATGAAATCACAAGATGAGAATAGTATAACATATAAATTGCAATTGCTACAAGCATCAAAAGGATGAATAGTGGCAAGAAATCATCAGTCAGGAAGGTTTCCTAGCAGCTTAAACAAGTTCCATGACTGAGATATAAACATTAAAATAAAGAATACTTAATGAAAATAAAATGAAGGATCATTGACAGGGAAATCCATATAATTACTAACAGTAAAGAGAAGCAAGGCAGCTAACAATAGGGTGTTAAGTCTCAGTGGAATGGAACAATTCCAAGATACAGTCAAGAATCAGAATATGCAAACTAATTACTATAGTCATTAAAAGAGGTGGCAAGGTGGTTGGTATATGCTGTTGTATGAAAACTCAAGACAAAACCATTGACTCATCATATTCTCCTGTACACTTTACCAAGCACATTTGCCAGGTTTCTGGTATCCCATTTTTGTTTTGCTTACTTAGCAAAAAAAAAAAAAATCAAATAAACAGTCTTTCCATCCATTTAAAGTGTGTCTTATGTTAAAGGAAAAATCTAAGCATACAAATTAATATGGAGGCTATGGAACAAGCAGTCGGAAGGAAAGCCATTCAAATAGGTTTTGGCAATAATGAATAATACAAGTGTTTAGATGTGTAGCAGGAACCCCCCACCCCAATCATTCTGCTTGTACAAACTTCACACACACACACACTCACACACTACATACGCCACATCTCTGTTATAAATTCATAGAAAATCAACCATACATCGGATTTGCACTGTTCCATTTTTATTTACTCCATATGACAAGAACTAACAAAGAGGGGTGACTTATTCCTGGTCAGCCATGATCCCTTCAGCATACCAGCACATCCACAGGGGCCCTGCCCAGTTGCTATGTCAGCCTTGATAATCCCAGACAGAACGACAATCAAAATGACAAAGAACTTGCATATGGAGTGGATTCAGCATGGACTGAAACAAAGGACAATGATCAGATCTTCCCTCAGGGGGCAGGAAACTGCAAACTCCCCTTTGTCTCCTGGAAGTGACTCATGGGGAGGGGGGAAAGGAGGAACCAGCCAGGTGACAAGATACTCAGGTTACCACCAACTCCTCCCTCAACCCCTCCTTTCTGTAAATGTATGCATGATGTCAACCCCTTCTGTAATGTATGCATGATGTCAACCCCTCCTTTCTGTAATATATGCATGATGTTTCTGGGGGGGTGGGCTTGACCTAGAGGAGGGGAATTTCAAAAGTTTTATAAGACCTTGCACACTATTTTTCTGGGTCTTTCCTCTCTCCTGCAAGTGAGGGGAACACCCTGATGCATCAGTTCAATAAAGGCCAAGCCTACAGGCTGCTGTTTTGCTCCAAGTTATCCTGGTTGGTGTCTTTGTTTTTGTCCAAGAGAGCCTCGGATTTTTCCGTTAACAGATGTTACTCAACACCACAGATTTTGAGCATAATCCCAGATGTGACCTCCCTGCCATGTTGGAAGTGATGTATAGACACTGTACAACAATCAATCCAATGATTTCCAGAAGTCCTCTTGAGAGCCAGTGTGGTGTAGTGGTTAAGAGCGGTAGTCTCATAATCTGGGGAACCGGGTTCGCGTCTCCACTCCTCCACATGCAGCTGCTGGGTGACCTTGGGCCAGTCACACTTCTCTGAAGTCTCTCAGCCCCACTCACCTCACAGAGTGTTTGTTGTGGGGGAGGAAGGGAAAGGAGAATGTTAGCCGCTTTGAGACTCCTTAAAGGGAGTGAAAGGCGGGATATAAAATCCAAACTCTTCTTCTTCATCATCATCATGAAAAAGCACGTGGGGTGTGCGTGTGGGGATGCTCATTTGAACTACATTAGCAAAAAATATTGAGTAATGCAGCACAGTTTCTTCAAATGTCTTAGGTACGGCTATCAAAGGAGACATCTTGGCTATTGTATGCATTCTGGGACATCATGTTTAGAGGAGATAAAAAGACGTTAACAAAGGACTACAATCTGTTATCAGGACCAAGGCTGAAAAGAAACCAGATAGTAGGAATTAACAGGAGGTACCATAACAAGGTACCATAACAAAATCTGATTTAGAAAGTCCTGCCATAAAAAGGGAAGAACAATGGAGATTTCCCCTTATGACTAATGCTACAACATGAATCAGTAGCTTTAAGTTGCGCTAATGAGGTCTGAGCTGCCACGACGGACCAGGAACAAGACCTTGAGGTCATAGTAGATAGCATGATGTAAATTTTGACCTGGTATGTGGCCGCTGTGAAAAAGATAAATTCAATGTTAGGGATCATTGCGAAAGGGATTGAAAATAAAACTGTCAGTGTTTTATTGCAGTGTCAAGGGGATCCCCAGTTCTGGTTCCAGGAGATCCTGTCTGCTCCTCAAATCCTTGATCTGTGGAGTGGAGTGTCTGCTTTATCCTCTGATGACTAAGTGTCTGGCACCAACTTACAGTTAGGCATGATGCTACTGTACCTTAGGAGCCAAGATCCCTTCGTAAAATATTTGAGGGGGCTGGGCTCCCCAAAGTTGATGGGCATTGCCCTTCATGTGGTGTGCATGTGACATGTCTTATGATCAATTATGCGGAAGGGGCTTAATTGCCCCCCCCCATTTTTTTATTCAAGATGGCACCCCTTGTATTGTACTATGCAGCAAAATTTACCAGCTGAAAAAATATTGTTACAAAGGTTGTACTCCACCCCTATCTCTGCCGAGTGGTAGCAAGATTCCATGGAGGTTCCAGACGGTTCCCTAGGACCCCGTTTCCATTGGGAATCAAGACACAGAGGAAACTGTTGTGTCTTTAAGAAATATGGTTTATTAGCACATATTTGGAGGAGACTCTTGAGAGTCCCGTGGACTGCAAGAAGATCAAACCTCTCCATTCTTAAGAAAATCAGCCCTGAGTGCTCAATGGAAGGACAGATCGTGAAGCTGAGGCTCCAATACTTTGGCCACCTCATGGGAAAAGAAGACTCCCTAGAAAAGACCCGGATGCTGGGAAAGATGGAGGGCACAAGGAGAAGGGGACGACAGAGGACGAGATGGTTGGACAGTGTTCTCGAAGCTATGAACATGAGTTTGACCAAACTGCAGGAAGCAGTGGAAGACAGGAGTGCCTGGCGTGCTCTGGTCCGTGAGGTCACGAAGAGTCGGACACGACTAAACGACTAAACAACAACAACAATCTGGATGCAGATGGAGAGAGTGTAGCATTTACAGCATTCACATGTCATGAGGGGCTTGCCCTTTCCACAGCTCAGCATTGCATTCAGAGGCTTTCCTCTGCCTCAGATTGTCTCCAGCCAGCTCTCAGGGCATCTGCCTTTCCACATCCCTGCATGGAGTTCTCCCCACTTCCTGCTTCTCCTTCCCAGAAAACCCCTGGCCAAGCAACTCCTCCCCTTCTGTCTGCTATTCAAAGCCTAGTTTTAAAAGTTAACAATTTTCCTGTAACCTACATTATTGACACAGACCCAAGGATTTCTCTGTGATGGGCCATCAACATCTTCTGTCATGATTAGCAGCTTCTATCTGAAGTGAGGCCCCAGCCTGTATTTTTCCACTAGCCTGGCATCTTTCCTTCAATACTCCAAATACTATCCAAAAGCTACGCCTTTTATTAAATTCTAACATTTGCTAATGCTGGCAGTTATGGGTACATTTTCACCCCCAAACTCTGTTACCCCAGATCTGTAACAATATTGTATATAGCAACCCCATCAGCAGTCAATATCAGCTGTGGGAAAGAAATGCCAACTCCCTGTAGTGAAGAAAGAAGCAGACAAGTCCACAGCTGGATTATTCTGAATTATCCCCAGGGATTTTCAACAATGTTGAGGGCTAGCTCTGAGTATTAAGAGATTCCTCCTCATTGCATTCTATTTTTAACTTAAAATTCCAGCAACAGAGCAGCACATCTTGCAGGTATTAGAGAAGTCTTACAGTACTTCAGTGTACTGATGATCTGACTGCAGCTCAAAAATAATCTTCCCAATGCCTTCCTTCAGCTCCCAGTCATTTTAAACATGTCATATATTCTGCAAAGATAGTTTAAGTTGGTTATGAGTAAGTTCTTTTCCTCTCCGGTTGTGAGAATTTTAATAGTTTTTCTGATAGATAAAACAGACTAGACTGTAGCAGCCTACCCATAAATATCTACATCGTCCTTAGGTCACCCCCTTAAGACATGTTTATGTGGTTGCCACCTTGTGGCCCAAAAGCAAAATTGTTTCTTTTGAAGAATTGGAACTGAGCACGCTCTAGGCATGTGCTTTTAGGGGTAATTTCAAGATGGATGCTGGACTGAGAACTGAATTAAGAGAAACCAATAAATAAAATGAGTTTATTTCCCCCTCTTACTGGTGTAGCCTACCTTACATGCCACACCAGTCTTGACAAGCAATTAGAGATTCCAGGAATAACAGGCATACTTAACTTTTGGGACAATGAGGCACAGTGGAGACTGGGTGGTCTTTATGATATGTGGTTTATTTACACATATGTACAACCTGAGCCTATAGGGACGCGGGTGGCGCTGTGGGTAAAAGCCTCAGCGCCTAGGGCTTGCCGATTGAAAGGTCGGCGGTTCGAATCCCCGCGGCGGGGTGAGCTCCCGCTGCTCGGTCCCAGCGCCTGCCAACCTAGCAGTTCGAAAGCACCCCCGGGTGCAAGTAGATAAATAGGGACCGCTTACCAGCGGGAAGGTAAACGGCGTTCCGTGTGCTGCATTGGCTCACCAGATGCAGCTTTGTCACGCTGGCCACGTGACCCGGAAGTGTCTCCGGACAGCGCTGGCCCCCGGCCTCTTGAGTGAGATGGGCGCACAACCCCAGAGTCTGTCAAGGCTGGCCCGTACGGGCAGGGGTACCTTTACCTTTACCTTACAACCTGAGCCTAGGATGGAGGGTTGCACAGCATTACTCCTCAACAGGGTCCTTTGCTTCTCTCACAGGCACAGCAGACAAATCAGGAATATTCTCTGTGTCTCTTTGCTATAGCCTGTCCCAGTCAGCCTACATAGTGCTCTAATCCCACTTCCTCTAGCTTGCCACTTTTTTCCTGTTCTCTTACGCCATCGACTCTGAAATCCTAAACTCCTTTGGTCTCTGCCCACCAACACACAGCTGGAGGAAGGGCTGCCCCGCCCTAGTTTTGTACTTCTTCGCTGTCTTGACGGCTTCCCTGATGGGTTAACGACGGGCCATCATAAGCCTCGGGAACCCTTCCAACTCTACAATTATATGATTCTATTATCTTTCAGTGTGCCAGCACCTACACTTTGGAACTCCCTGCCAATTGTCAATAGGCAGGTGCCTTCACTGTTCTTTTTCTGCTGCCTGTTAAAAACATTTTTGTTCAAGGAAGCCTATCCGGACATGTTTTACTCGCTGTTTAGCGTCTGATTATTATTATTATTATTTCAGGATAAAGAAAAATGTCCATATTTACACCTCAATACATAATTTTGTCTCTTGTTTTGTCGACTTCCCATTCCATTTTCCATGGTGATTTTGTTTTCTCCCCCTTTGCTGCATCCTATCCTCAATCTCTTATATCAAAACAATATTACAGTAAGTCCTAATTCTTTCTGTTGCTCATACTTCAAATCCTGCTCACGAATTCATAAAACTATATTTCTTTAAATAGTCCAAAAAAGGCTTCCTCCACAAAATTATAATCATTGAGTTCTCCTATTTTAGCTGTTAACTTTGCCATTTCTGCATAGTCCATCACCTTACTAGCTTCTAATTTTAATTACATTTTGCATTTTTAAATTTGTCTTTTTTTTACAATTTTATTTTTATTTTTGTAAACTGCTTAGAGGTTCTGTTTAGATTCATATATGCATTCTGTTAAATACATAAAATAAATATTGCAGATCAGGGACCTGAGACTGGGACAGTGGCCACATGCCACACTAAACATGCAACCATCCTAATTAAACCTATCCAATTAGATCTAGGGTGTGTTGGCATGCTGTAATGTGAGGGAGAGGTCCCTGCTGCCCTTAAAGAGGCAGTGGTACAGCTATTCCCAATTAAGCCCATTCTGCATCCAATGGTTTAAAGACCGCTAACAACCGATCACAGATACTGTACAATATCTTGAGCGTGAAGATGGCAGCAAGGCAACTGCAAACACTCTTAGAAGATATCAATTCCATTCTGGGTTCATGACTAGTTTCAGGAATGATTTGGTTGAGGAGATGCTACATGAAATCATGTTTGCTGCCAAAAATAGCCCTCTGTTTAATTCTTTGTCCTTTCGCTTCAGCATATGTGGAGAGAATGTAATATGACATCCTCACGTTGAGCATTGCTATGTCCCATCTGCTCCAGAACAGTCAACAATACAGAATGAGGTGAGATAAATGACAAGGTGGTGGCATGCCACATATTTTTCCCCTATGTAGGTGTTACAGTGAGAAGACTGGGAACTAAATTTGCAGGGGCTGTTTTCAGCAGCAAATAGACATTTAAGGTAACTTCCATTTTGAGCCTAAAGGAAAAGGCCACACACATCTCCCTCTTCACAAGCATGTAATCATGTGCTAATAAATTTTGTTGAACCCATTAACTGCTGCTTCAGGATGTAAATCTACTGTACTTGATTAAAAAGAAGTAAAAACAAGTGAGTCCCCTTCACTGCGCCACTATTTAGAAATTGCCAGCTTCCATTCAGAATTAAACTACATGGAGACATCCAGTCTAATCATGCTCAGACGAAGAAGTGAACTCATTTGCCCTCTTTTAGAGAACTCTTTGTAAGTTTTATAATGTTGGACAGAAAAACCAGTGGCGTGTGAAATGGCCTAGAATAGATTTACAATAGAGGAGTCTAAAAATAAATTCACAACATTAAAAGAAAAATAAATTATTCCTCGGCTATCCTTGTGTTCCTCATCATTACCATTGTCTCAAATAGTTTCCACAGATCATTATAAAAAAGGTTAGGGAAGGTTTTGGAAATGCCATGCAAAATCATAACCTTCCTTTAAAAGAAAGTGTGCAACAAAAGCAAGCCATAAAAAAGCCGCAGAATGACAAGATGGAAAAAAACAGTTACACCACACAGGAAGGAGTCCAAGGAGAAACCGGGCAACTAAAATGATAGGGGCAGAGACATAAACTGACAAAGCAGATATAAATTAAATACTGAAAATCTACAAGAAAGGGAAAATGTACTGTTATCTCTGAATAGGTTGCAAAAGAAGGAGAAAATTCAGCACCGGTAAGTATCTCGGGCGCTGCTGAGTTCTGATGCAAAAGAAGAAATAAGGGAATGCAAAACCAATAAATGTCATGGTCTGAAGAAACCAAGGAATTTAAATGTGGTATTCTTGAATTTAACATTGCTCTAGTCTTAATACAGCAAGAGGAAAGGAGGCTGAACAAAAATAGCTGAATGCAAACATTTGCACAGTGATTAGAGTGGATTACATGTTTTATCTGGAGCGCCCATAGTGTTTTTCTGAAACTCTGAGCTCAGGGAGGAAAGCGGAGTTCTGCAGTGATTTTACTGGCATTTTCGTCTTGCCCTCTTTTCCTTCTGCATTTTCAGAGCATGAAAAATCCTTGCTAGTAGGCCTGCCAGTAATTCTCTGGTCTGACTAATGAAAGTGTGTTCTGTTAATCTAGACATAGATGAGGAAGGTCCATCATCAGGGCTGCTCGTGGTCCTTGCTGTTCCAGTTAAAAGCAGCTGGGGGAGGGGAACTGCGGTGCTATAGAAGGCGGTATTTAATTCTCTCCACCCTCACCCCCCTGTGCCATATCCCAATTTAATCCACCTTTTTCAAAGCTTCTCTTTGCCCTACTATGTAATTTTAGACCCTGGACTTAATGGTCTTACAGTAGGGAAAGTGGAGACCTTTAGACAGTGGAGGGAGCGGGGACCTGTGTATTATTTCAGTTGTGAAACACTCAATTAACATTTCTCGCCTCCAGAGTAGAACCTTGTGTCAGGAAAAGCAGCTGGGAGCTGGGGGTGGGGTGCAATTTGGAGCAGGAAAGCAACCAGCCTGGAAGGAGTTGCACTTACAGACTACAGACTGCCGCCTTATTAAAACATTAATAGTCCTATTGGTAGGAAAGTACAGAATATTTCATTTATCTCTGGTTTATTTATACATTGCTCGACTGTAAACAAACAAACAAAAAACTCTAAAGTTTGACAATAGGAGTAAAACAATAACACTGGTATAAAAAAAATCAAAAAGATTAAAATCAGCAATAAACTGAAAAGACTTGTCCACATTCTGCATATCTGGGTAGCGTATGGCCACCCACAGACTGTGAGGATTTTGCCGGAGGGGTTCAAATGCAAACCAGAACTTTAGCATCCCCTCGATTCCTTCATCCAAGCTGTTTAAAGAGACATTCATTGAACAGCAATGAAGAACCATTAGCAAGCATCCTTTGGGTTGGGTCTGTCAATCAGCTACAAACCCACCTAGCAGTTACCTCACCCAGCCCACATTTTACCAGTTTCTCCGCAACCATATCATGGGTTGTTAAAAGCCTCTGAGTAGCTGTGATAGCAACGGAGTAATGAGATCTCTTCTGCCTGCCCCTGCCAAGAAAGGAGCAGCATTCAGCAGCAATTGAGGCTTTTGTGTTTTAGGATGACGGTTTAAACAGAGACAGAATTCCTTAGAGTAACTGCAGATTCAAATAAATCTAGAATCACCGTCTTGCCTTGTTAGCCCTGTGCCGCAAATCAGTTACTAAGGCAGCAGAAGGCAATGGCCCATTCCTTTTCTTCTCAAAGATGTCACAATGCAAATTTCACAATGTGCAAGCACAGGTGATCCTTTATGAAAGATCTGGGCCATACTTACTATAAGGGCATCTGCTTCACCAAGGAAACTGTGTGATAGATCTATCTAGCCTTTGAGTCCACTCATATTTTTCAGGTCTTAAGCCCAGCATCTTATATTGTATTGCATTTTTGGCAGTGCTGCCCTGCCATAAACTGTGTTGTGCTGGGTCTGATGGGAGTGGTGGTTCAAAACATCTGGAAGATGCCTGGCTAGAGGGATGCTCTAAGTGAGGGGCAGCCAACAAGGTGCCTTTCATCTGTTGTTGGACTACAACTCCCATAAACCCTGAGACAATGGTCTATGCTAGGTGAAGCTGATGGGAATTGAGAGTACAACAACATCTGGATAGCACTGTTAGGAAATAACTGGCGAATGCCTACATGTGGGGGGAAACTACAAAAGAAAAAGAAACGGCTGACTGCCTGAATACAAAAAAGTGTGGGGCTTGACTCATTCTCTAGTCAAAAGAACTCCTAGCAGATTTTAAAACAGAAATGCCTGCAACGTTTGCAAAGTGCAGGAAATACAGGGCATTTGTGATGGCCTGGGAATCTGATTCAGAGGCTGAACCTGAAGAATCCCAGCCTGCACAGGAGTCCCCGCCTCCAGGGCTGGCTGAGCCGGGGCAGGGGCTTGAAACTGAAGGGCCCGCACCTGTGCCGGATCCTCAGGAGCAGACACCAGATGAATCCACTCTGGCTCCGGAGGTGATTGAGGACCCGTTGCCTGCAGGTGCTCCTCTCCAGCCCTGTCAGGGGAAGGTGAGGTTGCCTCTGGGTCCAGTAACCCTCCAGCCTCTCCTGAGCTGCAGAGGCTCAGGGCAGAGAGGCGGAGGGAACTAAGTTTTCTCAGGAGGAGTGCTCGCCTTAAGGCCAGGAGAGGCGAGTCACCTGTGGGCCGGGACCGTCCTAGGCCTCAGAGGAGATAAAGGCCAGTCAGCCCAGTCCCAGGTTACGGGAGCAACATCGCTGGAAACCTGTTCCTGCCAGCACCCTGACCTGCTCTTCCGGAGTTCCTGACCATGCCCGGCTCCTTGCCTTGGACCCCGCTTCACCCTTGACAGACAGCCTCCAGACCCTCGACCCAGGACCGGACTCAGACCACGCCGCACAGTACACCCCCCCCCCCGGGACCAGCACAGCGTTATACCTTTAAATGTCCCCATATTAAGCACTCAACACTGGTGCTCTCCTGCCTCTACCCTTCTTGGGATGGATAGATAACAACCTTAAGTAAGTTTAAATGCTTTACTTACAATAGTCAGAGGTCTCACTCATGCATCACTCTAGGCAACAGCAGAGACAACACAGGCAAGGTATTCTTGGTTATAGCCTCAGACATCTGCTCAATTACACGGTTCAAAAAGGAGAAGAGGGAGAGAGAGAGAGACTGGGAGGGAGGAATAGGAAACAACCCTTGTTTCCTCCCTCCCTAAAGGTTAGGGGTTATCATGACCAACCTGAGTCTTCTCTTTCTATTAATAATTCTGTGGTCCTTAACCCTTTTCTTACTCGCAATAAAGCACAGTTACGTTTGGCTGCATAAATCTCCCCCAGGCACCATGTATATGGGGTTTGCCATTTCAGACGAGCACAGCATCCATTCAGAACAGCTCTCTCAAATTATTTGGCTATTTAATTTCTTGTTCCCCATTTTCTATACGTATGCACTTTCTTCTCCCAAAATTGCATTTTTAAAAAAATCTCTCTAAAATAGCACTATACAATTATTTCCATCCCTACCTCATATCCTGCTTCAGTGGGTTGGCATCTGTACTTTCAGCCAGCCCACTTACATCTGTTTGTAGTTCCTTCTTTCGGCTCCTAAAGTAGCCTTTGCCAACCTGTGCTGGCTGAGCAGGCTGATGGGAATTGTAGCCCAAAACATCTGGAAAGCACCAGGTTCGTGAAGGCTATTCTAGAAGGAAGAGCCTGGAACTCAGTCTATTTCATCAGTTATAGAGACCATAAGGACCTCCACATTTTCCTAATAATGCATACCTTTCTGTGGATTTTAATTTACTTTGGGAGTCCAACTTGGATGAAAAGTGGAGCACAAATGAAGTGAATTGATATCCACCAATAAATATGATGCATCATGCTGAAAAACAGTGTTTGTGTGTGTGGAGGGATGGCTTGAAATGGAATCATAAAGTAGCACAGATTCTGGATAATCAAGTGGGGTTGTGTATAACCTCCGTGATATCATCATGAACACATATCATCATGAAAGCTCAACACCCTCTCTCTTGACCCAATGCAGGATTCTGCATCTTCTACTTTTTTTATCCTAGGAATAGCTGCATTGCCTTGCCTGCCTGCTGTGTGTACATGGTTGTTTGATTACAGAAAGGAAAATTGTGGTTTTTTAAACCTCCTTTGTTTTGAATATGCGAAGAGAGAAAAAAATAGGTAAGAACTGTGTCCAAAGTTCTGATATTGCCAGAAAGGGCCCTGTTCATGGACTGCTAGTCTTTTAAAAACTTTCTGGTCCTTCAACTGTACCAGAGAGGTGAGGGGAATAAAAAGAAGTTTTATTTATTCTTGATAACAGTCCTCTGCTAGCAGAACTCTGAACGTCCCTCCACTGCAGACAAATTTCGTATTCCCCTGGAACATATCTCAGAGGCAATTTACTGTAGAAACATTAGGAGGGAGAAACACAGCCTCTTTCTGTATGTTTCTGGTGAGATCAACAGACTTTTTCCACTGTGACATCGCAGGGTGTATGCCTGCCAAGGCTAACTTTAAAGTATTGATGATGGCAGGCAAATTCAACAGAAAAAAAACTACCTGCATAATTTCTAAAGGAAAATTATTACTTTTGATAAACAGTGGCTGGTTTAGAATTAAACTTTTTATCACATAATTGGTTTTTTTTTTTTTAAGGGAATCCTGAGCTAACTTGAATTTGTTTTGCTCAGGTGTTATGTTTCATGAAACATACTGTACTTTTCAGTCTATAGGACGCCCCCATGTATAAGACTATTCTGGGGGCCTCAAAATTTAGAAAATAGGGGGATTGAGCTTTGGGGAAGGATTATTTGGAGGGAATGCCGAAAACTGCTCACCCGCCAGAACACAGCACACAACCGCTCGCATCGCTTACAATTGCCGCTTACAATCTCGGGCTCGTGCTTCATTCCAGCGGGTGAGCAATTTTCAGCATCCCCCCCCCCAACAATCAAGCGGCAAATTGCCGCTTAAAATCTCCAGCTCACATTGTAGAAACCACCTATCAGCTGCCTGATAACTGCCAGCGGCCACCAATCACACTCCCGCTTGCTGCAACTAGGGCAGCTGTCTGTTGGCTGCCGCAGTAGAATCGAAAGGGCTAACGGCAGCGATCAGGCAGCTGCGACACAAGCGGTTGTGTGCTGCGTTCTGGCGGGTGAGTGATTTTCGGCATTCCACCCCCCACAATCAAGCAGCCAATCTCCGCTTACAGTCTCGGGCTCGCACCAAAAAACCATTCGCCCATCCCCCCTCAGCACTACCCATGTATAAGACGACCCTAAATTTTAAAACTCATTTTTGGGTCAAAAAAGCTCGTCTTATACACGGAAAAATACGGTAACAGTGCCTAGGCTGCATTGCTTCTCATGCTCTACCCTACAAAAATTTCATGAATGAAAATATCAAAGTTAATTACGTACAGGCAAGATAATTGATTTCATCTTTATATTATGTCTATCTTTTCAAGGTAACAATCATATACTATGCAGAAGTTAGCAGGACCAACTATAGGATGGTGAGGGGGAGAAAGACAAGCACCAGTTGCTGTTAGCTGTTCACTCCCATCTCTGCTCTTAGTAGAACTACACCTTGTGCAAAAGGCTGTTCTCACATGCAGATTTTCTTTTCTGGTAAGAAGCATTGGCTAATCACTCAATTCAGATACTACACCAAACAATGGTTAATGAAGTTTAACAATAGGTTGACACAATGACTGAATAAACAAGCCATGGTTTGTAACCAGCTGGCAAATCAGAAACCATTGTTGGGGACTCAGGCTCGTCTCTCTCCGCCCCTTGGTCCCCCATGGCGGCGCCGGTGCTTATTCCCTTGTCCCCGCTCTCTGTAGCCTACCATGACCTGGGCAGCCCTGGTGCCCCAGGAGGGAGGCTGTCTCGGAGGAAGGACAGTCCAAGCTGTAAGGTGACTTTCATGACAGCATGCAGTGCTCACCGAAAAGCTGTTTCTCAGAAGGATGCCTTACCATGAGTGCTGTATCCCAAAGCATGCTGCAGTTGGGCCAATGTGCTCCCTTGAGCCCCAAAGACAGACATATTCACTGGGGAAATGGCGAGGTTCGTTCCGTGGTTGAGCTCTGCCCAGTATTGCTAGAGAGCGAGGGCATACTCCGTGCTCAGGTTCTGTGGTTCATGGTGTCAGTATAAAAGCTGCCCTGCCCCTGCTCTCCCTCCAGGTCTTCAAATATTATGTCATCCAAATGGAGAAGAAGAGAAGGCTAGCAATTATAACTGTTTAGGAACTTTCTTATATACCCTGAACATATCCTTGGAAATAGACATTACATTCATGTTTTCCTTGGCATTTCTTCCTCCTGTCATCTTCCTGCAGATCAGGATAGCAGGAGGTCCGCAGAGCCTATAGGGAAACATAGAGCCACATGGGATATGTTTATTTTCTGAACCTCCAAACAGGCCTCAAACAGTTACAGAGAGACCTTTCTTAAGAACCCTTAGGGACTAATATTAATCTGGAAGCAACATCTATACGCTGAAGGGTTTTACCTTTGCAGTGTAATAAAAAAATTAAGGTATTATATACAGTGGTGCCCTGCAAGACGAATGCCTCGCAAGACGAAAAACTCGCTAGACGAAAGGGTTTTCCGTTTTTTGAGTCGTTCCACAAGACGAATTTCCCTATGGGCTTGCTTCACAAGACAAAACGTCTTGCGAGCTCTTGCGAGTTTGTTTCCTTTTTCTTAAAGCTGCTAAGCCGTTAATAGCCGCTAAGCCGCTAATAGCCGCTAAGCCGCTAATAGCCGTGCTTCGCAAGACGAAAAAACCGCAAGACAAAGAGACTCGCGGAACGGATTAATTTCGTCTTGTGAGGCACCACTGTATATATAATAAATGTTCATAAATGTACCAACCAAACACAAACATAGATACGTGGACCACATGTCTGGAGCAGCACAGGAAGACTGTCCTGAAACCATTTTGACACCCAAACTGACCAAATTTTTTCTCTGCAAGGAGGGAGGGCAGGAATTAGGTAATCACCAATTCAAAGGAATGGGCAGACTACCAGTAAAGGCAATCAGATAAGGCATTATCAGATAACCTGGCAGACAGGACAAACAACAACATTCAAATTTCTGCTGTAGACCACCTTTTCTATGATGTAGTTATAATGTTTGTGGGGGGTGGTCTTGGGTTACTCCCCTTCTGTGATGTATGTATGATGTATGGAGGGGTGGTCTTGAGCTCCAGGGCAGGGAATTTAAAATGTCTATATAAGGACAGGCACACCTTTGTTCTGGGTCCTTCCTCCATCCTCCTGCATGTGAGGGAGCATCCTGTTGCAACAGCTTTAATAAAGATCAGGCTTACTAGCTGCTTTACTTCTTGATATTCTCCGGTTGGCCTCTGTTATTTTCTCCTACCAATAGGGAACCCACGTAAGGACTTTATACGGGCTCTTGGATATCTCATAAGGGAAAAAGGGCAGATTTTGTTTACAACAGCAGTCCTCTGAAAGAGGGGTCCAGAGGCGGAGGCTGTGGGCAAGGGGGAGGACTCTGGGAGAAGAGAAATTTTATTTTTTCTTCCCAGACGGGAGAAGACTTTTCTGAGCCCTGAAAGTCTAAAAAAGACAGAGAAATGGAACTCACAGTTAGTACTCTCTAACGTCTCCATGCTCAAGATGAATTTACTATTATCACAGAATGCAGATGCTGAGAGAAATCCTCCTTACATGTCTATCTTCTTCCTGTAACAAACGCAAAATGATCCAACCATAGGAGCTCACCAGACCTTTTAGCACTCTGGTGACCAGTGAGCCAGCAGAGGGAGGTGTCACAATGGCTTTTGTAAATCTGGGGCTGTCTCTTGAAAATAGCAACACTTGGTGGGTCTGCTGAGGTGCCAAGATGGAGACCACCAGGGAACCCATGATATGGTGTTTAGAATTATACAGACAAAAGCTACTATGTAAATAAATATATAGGGGGGAAAGAAAAGAAACCATTGTTGGAATTTAAAGTGTTTTTGCAAACTATGGTTTAGTGTGATGTCTTGAATTGACAACCTGCCTTTATGTCTCTGAAGGTTATTACATTTAGAGACTAGAGTTAGCCTGTACGTTTGAAAACTGAAACCATGGCTTCAGTTCTAAACTATGTCAAGTACAAGCAGAGTTTGGCATGATGTCTCAAGTTGAACAAATAAAATTATTTTGCCTGAAAATTTACACACTTAAAACTTTACGACTAATAAATATAAACAATGAATAACAATGCTAAAAGAAAAAAACAAACATTTGATGCACTTTATTTAACCAGGTAGAATGATCACTAATGGAGGCAGTTCTGGACAGAAAGTAGCCAAAAGTTACTTGGTGACATCCAAGCCAATGGGCCTCACTGCTAATGAAGCCTGTCCTGGGAGCACAGGATCCAAATTGTAGTTCCAGACAATTCACTGAGGGCAGGACTTGTTGTCTTCTTTCTCCCTTACATTGCAACTAAGTGGAATGGCTGCTGAAGGAGACATTTCTAGGAAGGAGCCAAATGGCTTGGTCCTACCCTATCCAAAGCATAGTCCTCACTGCTTCACTTCTGCTGATGCAATCTGGAGCTACAGTTTCATCCTCAATCTTGAAGGTAGAGATTGAGCCCTCTAAAAAATATGGTCTGCAACCGTATAATAAAAATTGTTATTTATTTTGGCAGCTGATGTCTTATCTATTGTGTCATTAAATGGGCAAACGTAAGGTTTCATTATCTATACTGGATTTTAGAGCTCGAAATCCAGTACAGTACACAGCCTACAGTGTGCACAATATGGGACTTCCCCCACACCCAGTAAAATGGTGATGTGAAAAGAACAAACTGCACCGTTCTAAGGCTGTCTACTCAGAATAGAGTTTGATCGTTCTTCATGAGGCTTACTCTCAGATGTACAGTGGTACCTTGGGTTACATACACTTCAGGTTACATTCGCTTCAGGTTACACACTCCGATAACCCAGAAATAGTGCTTCAGGTTAAGAACTTTGCTTCAGGATAGGAACAGAAATTGTGCTCCGGCAGCACGGCAGCAGCAGGAGGCCCCATTAGCTAAAGTGGTGCTTCTGGTTAAGAACAGTTTCAGGTTAAGTACGGACCTCCGGAACGAATTAAGTACTTAACCCGAGGTACCACTGTATATGATTGTAGCTATTGTCTTGCGGCACTTTACAAACACAGCAATTTATTATGGCATAATAAATAATATTCTGGTCCACAATACTCTTTATTTGATGCATGAAGTGCAATCCCAAATCTACAGGTTTATAAAGAAATTTGTATGCAAACATGCCTCCCTAATTGAAACTCTTCCCTTGTTTATCAGAGAGCAGACGAGAGGCTCTGTACAGGTAAATAAAAGTTGCAAAAAGCTGCTACATTATATCTGAAAAGTTTAGGAAAACAGTCCTGTCACTTTTCTTTGGGGAGAAAAAAAACAGATAAGCATCTTTTGGGAAGGTTTTAAGCTTTTTAATTAGTTTTGGCTGGTAGCCAAAGACCTGCATTGAGGGCTTGCATTAGCCAAGTAACTTTTTTTTTTTTTTACTTATTTCTCTTTGAACAGCTAATCCAGATTCCACATCACAATCTCCTTCCAGTTTCAAAAGCAGCTTGCCATATGGCAAGTGGGTGTGGAATTCCTTTAAGAGGAAAACAAGTCTAAAACCCTCTTAGACTCATGGAGCTAGTTCCATGGTTCTCAACTCCCAGGCTTTGATTTCTGACCCACCCTATGTCTAGGACAATTCAAAGTCAGCACGACAAAACACCCAATTAAAAGATAACAAATAAAAAGATTAAAGTCAGCACTGTTTAATCCTGCTTTATATTAGGAGACTGCGTTGATTGACCTGTGGTATTCAACTCTCTTATTCGAATTACGGTAGGTAGAATCCATTCTGAGTCCTGTACAAGCTGCGTTCTCTTGCAATTGCATCTTGCCATGAAATGCAAATCGCCAAAAGCAAATGATTTGGCTTGCACTTTTATTTGTCTCCAAAGAGATTTTATTAAACAGTGAGAAAAATGCCTGCTATGGATGTTGAAAGGACTCCTTCCACACAACAGACACATTCCGCCCCTGCAGTATTGCTGCCAGTAATAGATAGCCATGCTAGCCAGTCCCAGAGTGATATGCAGAGTGAATTACAATAATATATGGGAGAAAGGAAACGAGATATTCAGGGGCGTGACTGCAAGTTTGGGGAGGAAGGAGCATGTTTAACCCATTCTCAGCTGTGTCCCAGCCAGGCTATTTTGCCTGGTTCAGTTTAAGGATAGGACAGTTCCACCTTCTTTTGGACTCAAGTTATGGCAACCAAATACAAAACAATACAGTAGTTTCAATAACTTCTTCTAGCAATCTTCTGGAGACTTAAATTATTAATTAGCATCAATTGCTACAATCAGCACACATTTAGAATGTATTAGAGATACACAAACATCACAGAATGGGGAAAGTTGCACAATAATCTTGAGGTTTTGAGAGCTGAAAACAAGCCCTGTATATGGACATTTTCTTATAACTGCCTCTTTCTAATATTATCTCAACAGATTTTGGCAGGATCTATTTCTGAGGTGCTAGTTCCTTTTTTGATAGGCTGTGAGCTGATGTCCCTATTAGCAAGATTTACCCCCACATCATGAGAAGAGAAGACTCCCTGGAAAAGACCCTGATGTTGGGAAAGATGGAGGGCACAAGGAGAAGGGGACGACAGAGGACAAGATGGTTGGACAGTGTTCTCAAAGCTACCAACATGAGTTTGACCAAACTGTGGGAGGTAGTGGAAGACAAGAGTGCCTGGCGTGCTCTGGTCCATGGGGTCATGAAGAGCCGGACACAACTAAATGACTAAACAACAACAACCCCTGGTAAATCTTTAAAAACCAGGAAATGACCAATGCTGAAGTCATTGCTACCTGATGAAAGACTACGCTGATGAGCCACAGAAGCTCGATAGTATTTGTTCACAGGGTTATATTCTACAGAGAAACTTAGCAGATAAATATTCAGGCTTTTACAAAAAAGGCTTTTGTAGTTGCCTTCAAGAGCTAGAAGTTTATTGGCAGTGGTTTTACTTATGTGTCACGAGACCTTTGCTCTAGTACAAGATTGCCCAGGCTCCTCTTCTACCCCCACCCAGCCATAATTTCATCTGGAGACCAGTAATTAAACCCTTCCACAAAGATCTGATTTGCTGGGAAGGAGGGAAAGATGATCTGTCTTGGGCAAGATCCACATTTGATTAAAACTGGAAAGATAACATCTTATTCTTGCTGACAAATCCATCATATTTATGTTGATCTAGATACCACTAATTCTAATTTCTCCGAAATTTGATTTGAAAGGCTAGCTTTCCTACAACCTGTAATTTATTCTTTTCTCTTTCACAAAAATGATTTTCTCTTGTTTTGTGGATAACAGAAGAGGTTGGTGAAAGGGATTTTTCTACCTAATCTCGAAGAATTAGGACATATACATCATCCAGATATTTGGGTTAAAAGCATAATCTGTTTAGCTATTTGACCCTACTTGGAATTTCCCCTCTCCAAATGTTTCCTTCCATTAGTTTCTACTGCATAATTCTAAAGCTACTTGAATTTGAAGAACACTACATAAAAGTAATATGAGGGGGGACACTACTAAGTTAGAATTTCACTCCTCTCATTTGTGAAAGAACCGGGGCTTTATTCTCATGTGAGATTTTGTAAACTTCTTTATCAATACAGCATATAAGCACTCGTGACTATTAAGTACATTAAATCCCCTGGGTTAATGCAGCGCTTGGGAGTTTAATAATGCCAAACACGCAGGCAATCAATTCACTTGATTTCCTTTACTTTTCTGCAGCAACCTTGTTTCTCCTCTGTACTTTTTATGCAAAAGTTAAGTTGTGACAGGAATACAGATGCAGAAATGTCTAAGCTGTAATGAAAATCTGAACTTTGGTGAGGGCTGCCATTCAGATGTAAATGTAGCAGGTCCAGATGAAATTTCTGAATGTCCAGAAGCTCAAGGCTAAACTAAACATAATTAGTCAACACATCTGGGGTTTTTTAAGTAGCATGTGCAGGACCCTTAATTCTGGGGATACCACAACACGTGAAGAGGGGAGGTCTAACCCTTTTCTTCTTTTCCTAAGGTGCTATTATCTCCAGATGAAAAGCAGCTGTTCCCCCCTCCCAATCAAGTAAATATCCAAAAATACTTAACTGACTGACCAATTGCACCGCAGATAACTCAGTTCTGCCCCCCATAAAGCCTGCTCCCCCCCCCCAAAGATAAATCCTGGCTACACCCACGGCTGTGACCTCAATCTTTGCATTCTCTTTCAACCATGTCTTATACATGCAGCCCATTTCACTCTGCTCCATAGAATTCAATGGAAACAATGAGAACAGAGCCAGAGCTCATCTGCATTGCCCCACCCCTTCATCTGCATAGCTGCTGTTTTTTGATGTGAAACACACCATATATGCATATACGTATATATATACATATACATATACATATATAACCTTGAATGAGAGCTACATCCACCCCTGCCTGCTTTTTCTTGATGTGAAATGCACACAATATATATTTTACCTTGAATGCGAGATACATCCATCTTCTGGATCTGTACTTAAAACTAGATGAGCACCAGTGTGCATGCACACGAAAGCTCATACCAAGAACTAACTTAGTTGGTCTTTAAGGTGCTACTGGAAGGAATTTTTTTTGTTTTGACTATGGCAGACCAACACGGCTACCTATCTGTAACTAGATGAGCACCTATAATTGAAGTGTATAAACCATGCCCCAGTCAACAGGTCCATATTTCCGGGTCTTCCAAGAACACTATTGCATGTTGTGCACAGGGAAGGTTAAAGTTTATGTATTTGGGGAGGGTCTCTGACCGTTGATTATTTTTCGGTGTTATCTTGAAACAAATTCATGTTCCTTGTTGGGGTGGGGAGGTGGTTGGGGGGAAGCGTTCACAAATGGATATCCTTTCCAAGAAAATTATTGCCGGGGGGTGGGAATTAGCTAGAGAAAAAGACAATCTTCTCCCTCTCTCCCAATTCTTGCCACAAGGGGGAAATTCTCCAGACCACTTCCCTCCCCCACCACATGGGGGTTCTCTCGTGCCAGTGGTAATGATTCACACGGATCTTTGACCTGCAAGCAAATGCATGAAATGGGGAGGGGGAGTATAATATTTAAATACCTCCCCCATTCACAAGCATTAACAGGCAATTCAACCTCAGTCTCTTTGCATGCACACCCAATTCTTGACCAGATGGCATGTCATATAAGATATATTTTCATATATATATATATATATATATATATATATATATACCAATACATACACATATACACATACATACACACACCCCAGAAAAAATAGAATATTGATATAGATATAGAATATTCTAATATCTATATCTATACAGTATACTATTTCTTCTGAGGGTGTGTGTACACACACACACACACACACACATATATATATATATATATAATATCCCCCCCTCAGAAAAATATAGGATATAGATATATATATAGATATGTATGAAAAAAATAAAATAATTCCCCCCCCAACTCAGAAAGACAGCGCGCCCTCCCTCCCTTTCCACCAGGCGCTCTGGGGCGCGCTCTCGCCGCCCGTTACTGCAGCGGCTGCCGGGCGCGTGCGCGCGCGCCATGCAGCGGTTTTCTCCCTCTCCTCCCCTTTCCTTAATTCCCCCCCCACCCCTTCTCTACCAGTCCCAGTGAGGCGGAGGGATAAACCCAGAACCGTGAGGCGGTGAGAGATTACATACATGCATATACACAGTATACACAACCGTACAAAAAAAAAAAAAAGTGCGCGGCGTCCCCTTGCCTCTGCTGCGCTGCGGAAGGATCTCTCTCTCTCCTTCCCCGGGCTTCTTCTCCGTTAGAAGGGAAGGAGAGGAGGAGGAGGCAGGCGTGTGCCGGCGAAAGGGGGGGGGGCTAGGTGGGTGTGGAGAGAGAGAGAGAGAGCGCGCGCGAGCCGCGAGTGATGCGGCTGCTGGGCTGAAGGGTCGTTTAGCCGTTACTGAGGGGCGAAAGGCAGGGGGGGGGGGGAAGAGGGAATTAGTCCCTAGAAGTGTGTGTGGATTTTTTTTGGGGGGGGTGTGCTGCAACTGGGACCAGCAAGGGAAGAGAGAGAGAGGAAAAAGAGGGTGGGAAATGGGGAGGGAGAGAGGAAGCTGAGGAGGCAGCTGGCTGGGGGGGGGAAGGGAGTGAGTGAGGGGCTGAGGTGGTGGGTGAGTCACTGGGGGGGGAAGCCCGTGGAAAGGAGAGGCTGCGGACCAGAGCAGCCTTCTTTTTTTGGGGGGGGTAGGTAGGCGGGAGATGTGAAAGGCGAGCGCTGAGGGGCCAGGCAACGGGGGGGTGGGGTCCCCCCCTACATATCCATCTCTACCTCTTTTGGATAGAGAGGTGTCGCCCCCTGAGGAAAGCTGCCTCCCCACGGGGGGTGGAAAAACAACCTTCCTTCCTTCCCTCGCACCCCCCCCACCCACCCCAAACCAACCTTGGCTGAAGGAGCCGGCGCCCTCCTTGTCTGCATGGGGAGGGAAGCGAGCCTGGCTTGCGGAGCGGGGAGGGGTTTCCTGTGCGGGCTCGCTTGAGAAAAGGGGGGGACTTGGAAAGTGGGGTGGTGGCTTGGAAGGAGAGATTTCTGGGCGCCCCCCTCCCTTGTCACACACATGCACGGGAGCGAAACTGGGTCGAGGTAGTTTTCCTTGGGATTTGCATGTCTTTGCAGCCTCGCTCGCTGGTGCGGCGGCAGCCCCGGGGGGAGAAAAGGAGCTGGGGGGGGGTGTTGCTGTGGTGCGGCTGGCTGATGTAGGGCTCTCTCGTAGGGTCGCTTCCTTTCTTTCTCCTTCCTCTTAAAGTACCGACAGAAGAGGAAGAAAGAGAGTGAAGTCGAAGACATACATCCGTAGGAAGCGTCGGGGGAAGGGTGTTTTTTTTTTGGGGGGGGGAATCCCTGAAAATGATCGTCGATGGCCTCGCGACCGCTCCTTTTCTGGACGAGGGGCATAATGAAAACCCTGTTGTCGCCGCTGCCCTGGCTACTTTTTGAATTTTATCGGGGGCAACTAGCTTGGACGTATTCTTCCTGAACTCGTGGAGCATTTTACGGAATTACTGCAACGGAGGGAACCTCATACTGGCTTCTGGTTTTGTTTTGCTTTTCTTTCTTTCTTGGAAAATCCTGCTCTTAAGATGGAAAACGAGATTTTCACACCTCTTTTGGAGGTCTTCATATCCAGCCCTCTTGTTACGTGGGTAAGCATTAATTCACTATTCAGTGGCAGAGATTTCAAATGTGTGTGTGTGTGTGTGTGTGTAATTTCTTACTGTAGAGACCAAGACGAAGTATGTCATTGTGATAATTCTGTTATAGGTTAAGACATTTGGACCGTTAGCTGGAGGAAATCCAACAAACTTGGACGAATATGTTGCACTTGTGGATGGCGTTTTCTTGAATGAAGTCATGCTTCAAATGTAAGTTGTTTTATTGTATGATTTGGTGTCTTCTGTAAGCCACTTTTAGCAGTTGGTCTAAGAATGTATTTATTTCCTGTGGTCACTCTTTCTGCTTACTTGGGAACATAGTTCAGTGCCTTAACATATTCCCAATTGTTTGTACTGCTTCTGTGTGCAGCTGTTTCCTGGGAGTTGTATATCCACAAGAATTCAGCAGAAGTGGGGAGATGCAAAATTGCTAGGCAGAAGTAACACAGGATTCGGTCCAGTAAAGGGTTAAGTACTGCATCTGGTCTGAGAATAATTGTACTCAGATGAAATGTTCAACTCTAAGCTTTTTATATTTGCCGTATAAGCTCAGTATACATTTTAATGTTTTGTAGAAACCTTCCAGGTTTCATCCCTCATATGTTATCTATGTGGAGCTTCAGATCCCTGATTTTGATCAATGTTTAAGACAAAATGCAATAGTGCTTGCAAACTGATCTTAATTTTACTTGGGAAGGAAACCCCATTGATTTCAGCAGTTTGTTTAAATGAAAGCTGCACTTAATTATTCTGTGCTGTAATATACTTCAGAAACACAGCTCAGAACAAAAGTTTGAGGGACATCTGTTGAGGATAGTATTTTGGTTCAATGGCATCATTTTGTAGTGATCATTACAAAGGCTAGTCTGTCCCCAGTTTGAATTAATATTGGAAAACCCAGCAGAAATGGATTCAAATTTAAACCTTAATTTATGGCTAAGTGATGTTAATTTTTGTATCACTAATATGGATGGAAGAGCCATATATTCATTCTATTTTTCAGTGGTGAGATATCTTAATGAATAAAGTTGTGGGAAATTAAATGTAGTTTAATAAGAAATAGGGCACTCCCAGAAGCAGCATGTTTCCTTTGAGATGAACATTGCCACAAGAGGTTTCCCCAGTTTTTGATGAGAGATGAATGCCACTAATGAAATGGCTTATAACTTGCTGCTAAAACATTTTTAGACTACACAGGACTAAACCTAAAAGTAACATTTCCACATCCTGAATTGGGAGCAAAAATGTTTTAGTCCTGTGTAGTCTATTGTACTTTGTTTGCCCAAGAGCTGTTGCTCATAAGCTAGTGATTCAACATGTGGAAATCATCATGCATGAATCAACATCTGTGAAAGATATGAGCAGCAACAAGTACTGTTGTTAAAACCTTCTGATTTAAGTAACATTCAAAGGGTTCACAAATTAAGGATGCATGCAGTTAATAATGGCTATGTATAAAAAAGTCTAGTATGAAGTCAGACTTCACTGACATGAAAGTTCAATGAATATGATTACCTGAAGCCAGAGATTACAATTTTTTGTTCTTTAATAAAGCTGTATAGCTGGATGATTACTTTCAGTATAGTCAGAAGCATAATAGAATTTAGGATGTCATTCTAAAGACTAGGAGCCTTGTAATGTACTCATTTCTTTGCTGTTGGTGCAGTAGAGAATTGGAGATGATCCTTTGGTAGAGATGGAAATTCTTTCTTATATGGAATAGTGTGTACTATAAGTCTCTACCGTGACTTATAGTAGCTTGGGCACAACAGAACATTGTTTCAACTGCTTTGTAGTTCTACAAGTAGATTTAGATTACTCTTGGTACTCTGGGTGGTGGGCCAGTAGGATTTAATTCCTGAGAGTTATGGACCTAGCTAGCTTCCAGAATGCTTAGGCATGGTGATGCGTTTGGGATGGGACAGGCAAAGGTAAAGTTGACGCTGTTTGATGACCTGATGTGGATTGGAGGCTGACTGAGGCTGTTGAGAAAATAGTGCCCAGAAAAACACTTGTGGTCTTCTCTTATTTACAGTGGAGGTTTTTGGCACTGGAGTATCAAGGGAGACAACAAAGAGTGGCAGAGAAATTAGTCTGCATCTGACTCATCATGCCACACCTGTACTATAACAGTGTCAGTGATAGAAAATGCTCTCTTCTGCTACCATTGTGTCTGAATAAAGGCAGCTTATTTTTGATACCATTTAAGCAGAGTTGCTTGGGGTAATGATAATTCAGTTTGCTAGCTGATTTGCAAAGAAGTCAGTGACCTACAACTTGACTTGGATATCACATTTAGAGTACAGCTGTACCAAGTGCTCATGTGCAGACATTTTCTGACAAAAAGCCCTGATTTAAGGAGAGATGCAAAATGCTTCTCTCTGCTGCTCCTTTGGCACCATTTTCTTCTCCTTCACAATGTGACCCCAGCTAATTAACAATCATACAGCAACTATGAAATAACGCTGCTATATAGTTATCTAAATTGGCTACATTTTATCCCAAAGTCAATTAAATTAGCACAAACTCTGAATTGGTATTGGGAGGGTAGCAAATATTTTAATCGGGAGTCTACAAAAGCTTTCCAATTCCCTTTCAGGCTATGACATATCAATAAATTCTGAGAGGGGTTAACTCAGGGGTCTGCAACCTTTAAGACAAAAAGAGCCACTTGGACCCGTTTCTGAAGGGAAAAAACCTGGGAGCCGCAAAACCATTGCGACATTTAAAGCATGTGCGCCGCTGCCCTCCGATCTGACAGTGGGCGGGAAGGTGACGTCGGGACGGTGCGTGACTAACGCACGCACCGCCCCTATGCGATGTCACAGCCAGTACAGCACCCGCCACAGTGGGGAGTGTCGGGGCGCACAATGCGCCTCCTCCCCTCGCTAGTATCTGCCCCAGAGCCGTGGCAAAGGTGTAAAAGAGCCACATGCGGCTCCGGAGCCGTGAGTTGCAGACCCCTGGGTTAGCTCATGGCTACACTGATTCTGTCACTGGATACGAATGACTTTCCTATAGACCACTATGAGCATGGGGCAGAGACTTATTGGTCTGCTACTTGGAACATCAACCACCACACCCTTTAACCACAGGGCCTTTTGACAAACCAATTGGCAAACTAAAATGAAGAACCTCAAGATGTTTGATTCAGCATTCTCTCTATGTTGGTTCTATACCAGGAGAGGTTTCACTCACTCAATGTTAAGTGGGACACTTTTAAGACAGGCAGAGGGTGAAGTGCTGCTTCATAGTTGCTGTATGATTGGGGCAACCCAGTCAGATGGACGGGGTACAAATGTTGTTGTTGTTGTTAATAATTAGCTGGGAGGCATCATAAATTGCATATTCCACTAATACAGTTGACTGTTTCTTACCTAGGCTGTGGTCCAAGTTTTCCAGTGAATCTGGAATGGCATAACAATTTAGGAAACCCTTAGTTATCTTCCAGCAACTCCTGTAGCCAAGCTAGTGCCAAACATATTGCTCTGCTTTCCTTTGGACCACAAAAAAGGCTGAGAGAGCAGAGATAACATGGGAGGATAGCCACAATAGATGCTGTAATTCTTCAACAGTTTGACTTCCCCCAAAGGCACAATTCTCCACTGTCTCCCAAGACAGATGGATGCAAACCACAGTTAACAAATCATTTTAAGATTTAGGACAAGATTGCACATGAGGTTTACTTATAGTTTGACCTTGAGTACAAACTTCTCACCCCCAAAAACAGAAAGGTGGTGGTGTGGATATAGTCCTGGGATTCCAGTGTAGTGGGCATGAACCTTTTGTCCCCTGAAATAATAGAGGACTCCCCATGCCTACAATTTTCTTAGGAATTTTTCCCCCACAGGCATGGGGAGTGGGTGGCTGCTCTGGTTCAGGACCCTAACAAGGTAAAGGGTTAAAGCACCACTATGCCCCATGCATTCTCCTGCATGCAAAGACAGGCTGTAGCGGATTGAGTGAATGAGACCAATAGTGGGTCCAAAGGTCAATAAGCCAGTTTCTGCACATGTTGTAGAGGGAAATAAGGGACAGATGGGGATCTTCAAACTGGGGAGGTAACCCATCTAGGAAAAGGAAAACTCTGACCCCAAACCTCCGCTGCTTTGAGGGACCGAAGAAAAGGCTAAGGAATAAACCTTATACAAAACTAGAGTGGAGTCCCTAAGATGCTTGGAGGCCCTTGTACGCCTCATTCTGGCAACTTTTGCAGCCTAGCTGGTACCAATTGTATTCTCTGATTTCCTTAGGACCACATCAGGCTGGGGTTGGGTGCGGTGTTTTGTCATCTGAGCAGCTCGGAACCTCCACATATTCTGCCCAGGCTTGCACCCCGGAGAAGTCACTTCAGTGTTCCTAATGCAGCAAAAACAACACATTTTGACTTCATCCCTGGAGGCACACTCCATTGTCTAGGGTCCTGAACTGATAAGGATCATGCTGCTTATGCTGACAGTTCTTTGAAGGGGAAACCTAATGATAATTCCAGAACTGGGGTACCATTGTTGAGAATTGATGATTTTCATATCTGGTAGTAGAGGACATTGAAAAGGGCCTCTGCAGAAGATATTAATGATAATGGGATAGGTGCTCCTAATCAATAGCTTTTCTATATTTAGGTCAGAACATGTATAGGAGCTACTTTCATAGGCTCCAGTATCAAAAGAAGCTTGTCAGTGTACTTTCCAGTCCTACACAGATTCTCACTTCACTACCATGCCATGAATAGACTTTGGTAACTAAATGTAACCTTTCTCTGAAATTCAAAACTCTTCCAAATTCCTTGTGAAAGCCAGTCCAATAAAATGGGTCTCTTCTTTCAAGTAGCTTTATCAGCTTTTGCAAATCAGGACTTGAGCATTTCTCATGAGAGAGAGGACTCTCTGTGCTGTGCTGTGATGAACAATACTCACAATCAATTCAGTTTAACAAATAAAGCATCAGCTGCAGGATATTCCAGCTACATCCCCTCCTTTATTGTATTCAGCCACCCCGGGATCAGAGGGGCTGGCTCTGCTTAAAAGCAAGAAGAAATCTGGAAGTTTTTAGAAACAATAAAAATATTACTACTACTACTACTTCTCTGGCGATCACTCGTAGCCGAGTAAGATTGTCTTCCATGAACACAATCTTAACGGTGAGTCCATAAGTGACTGTGAAGGCCAATTCTGGATCCATACATCCTTCCACAGTGGGGACATAGGTTT